AAGTATTTGTTTATGCCTTGCATGCATTATTATCTATTTTCTGCTTTCTTCCTTTGCTGTGCTATGCACGCATGTCAATGCTCCCCAGAAGCAACTTGCGCAGGATTTCATTGTTCCTTGTAAACTTGAAAGGCAGGGAAGGACGTGGCAAAAGAACGATAATGGAGATAATGATGATGAAACAAATCAGAGGTGGCTTGTCTGTCAATATCTTGCTGGAGGGATCCAGTTGCATACCACATCTTTACGTTTGTGCAATTAAAGTGGATTAAAGCCTTGGCACCACGAATCCATTAAAAAAAACACCTGGACTTTTTGTAGTTAGGAAAGTGATGGGAAAATGCACTGAAAAGTGTGGGAATAACAAAATGATTAAAGGTAAGAGTTGTAAACGTGGCACATGCAAATCAGGATGGATGCTCATTGGTGTATCAGCTCCCTGCAAGAAAAATCAGAGCAAATGCTCAATAAAGATGGCATATAGCCTAATCTCAGCATCAGTTTGTGCAAGCAAATCAGGATGATTGTTCAATGATAATTAATGCTCAGGGTGATGAGAGATGAGTGTTCAAAACTAATTTTTCCGGTATGGAGTTAGTGGTTGGACTAGGAGCTGGGAGACCAGGGTTGAAGTCCCCCTTTGGCCATGAAGCTCATTGGCTGATTGGTTACTTCCTCTAAGACTAACCTACCTCAAAGGGTTGTTGTGGGGATTAAATGAGGAACAGCACAACTGTGCACACCAGCTTGAGCTCCTTGGGGGGAAAGCTGGGATATAAATGCAACAAATCCCTCTATCTTAATCTGGATAACGTGGTGGTGGTGGTGGGGTGTTCTCATGGTCTGATGGCCTAGGATGCAGCAACCTTGCTTAGGTCTGAATGGAAGATAACCTGGGAATTGCGGTCTTGAGCTCCGTTGGCAAAAGGTGGGATATAAACGCAATGAATGAATGAATGAATGAATGAATGTAATTGGAAGATCAGCACAGGATTCATTCTTAGCACTGAATATTCAGCCTGCAAAAAGACCATGCCTAGAGAAAGCCTTTATGTTCCATACTATTGTAGCCATCTCAGCCCTGCCTAGAAAACGTGGTTGTTGTAAAAGAAAACAGCTTTTGTGGTGGCAGCGTTTTTTAACATTAGCATTCCTCTCCGAAAACAGAGGAAGGGAAGTTCATCTTTCTGAAATGAATTCCCACAGGAGAGCATTCTTCTCTCTCGCTACACTGTGAAACTCCCACGCGGACGTCGGGGGGAGAGGAGAGAACCTTCTGATGCTGTCACATCCTTGGACCCTTTTATCTCAGTACTGCCTGGCAGCAATTCCTGAACAGAAGCAGTGGAGTTTCTTGCTCAACTTAACAGGTGAAACCCATTTCCCACAGAACTATTGGGCCGGTTCCAGGGCAGAGGGGACTCTGGGCTCAGTGCCCCATCCCCATATGTGTGGGTCTTGCTCAACTTACTTGGCAACAGGGCGTAACAAGTGGCGGCAAGAGAAAGCTCAGAGGTGGTTGCAGTGAGCAAGCTATTTGTTAACGCAGCACTTGTTCCCAACATAGCAATGATACATCAGGGGCACTGCGGGGTCATAAAAAGTTGGGATTTTCGCTGTTAGTTGGGTTTGTTTCTCAGCCATGTGGCTATCCTAAGCGAGCGGGTAGGCAGCCTTTTTAATCCCCCTTCTCCTCACCATGCCCCAAATTTGGCAATTGCTACATTGGGTGCATTGGGAAGAGAACAAAAAGACAGATCACTCACTCCTGAGATTGCACAGGCTAGCTCTCCTGCGTTTAACATGCATCACAAGGGGCTCCATGGGCCTACCAATGTAGGTGTACAGACCTCCTTCATTTGAGGGGAATTCCTGGTCCGATCGAGACCCCCCTTGAATTGGTACATGTGCAGGGTCCCATTTCATGTGGGTGTGGCGTTGTAGCTGGAGGGCTAGCCCCACCCCCCGCCCAGGAATTTTCAGAGCTGAAGATCTCAAGAATAGAGTGGTTTGCTGATAAATCCCTTTTCTGAGGGAACTCTGGGAATTGTATCTCTGCAAGGGGAATAGAAGTCTCAGCACCCTTAACAAAGAATAGTTACCATAAAGTGGTATAACAGTAGGTGGTGTGTATGTGGCCTAGCAGCAGACCACAAGAGCAATATTTCAGTGGTTGTTGAAATGCTGCTTCAGCCTGGGCTAATCCTCTCCACAGGCTGAGGATCTCCATCCTTAATCGTGAGCCGCACGTCGATCGTTCCAGATGCAACTTCTTGCCGCCACAGCAGCTCTGAGACAAACCATTCGCTCTCTCATTTCTCATTCCCCTCCAGAGAAATCAGATTCCACTGTGTAAAGGCCCCTTGGCTGAGATCAAGGACCAAACTCTCTTATCTTTTAGCTGTAGTGGGAGGATTTACCGCTGTGGGAGTCCAGCAGAGGAATTGAATAAGATGTTGGCATTAACCAGGGTTGTCAGCATGAGAGAATTGCTGCACTGAGATCCTTAGTTCGGCTCCTATAGTATTTTTTTTATATAGTGCCTACCTTTTAAAAGAAGTCATGTTCGGTCTTTTCACAGAGTGTTTCTACAAGAGAGCAGTGAAAGGCATTCTTTCCTACAGCAGTGTGCAACTCAAGTCCACCAGATGACCATTTTTATATATATTTTAAACTAACTCAGCAGGACCATAATTCTAGATCAAGCACAGAAGAGCTTTTCTGTCACTCAGTGTGCTCTTTTCAGTCTATTCTTTGTTGACCCTTTTCCCTCTTTGTGATCCAGGGGCAGAATATACCCTTCCTTCACAATGCAGCACCACAGGCTGCCATCTGACACCTCTCTTCCCCCCAACCCCCCCAATCCTTCTCATTTTCCATCTGCACTCCATTACACTGTCTCCCCTCTCTGAACCCCACAGCGCAGACTCTGTTCTTTCTATCCAGTTCCAACTTCTCTTTCTTTCCCTGCACCAGGGAGTAGCCTCTCTTTCACTGCGCTATGATACAGCTTTAAATAGTCAATTTCCAGAGCTCCCTGTTAAACCAATCTGGAAAGCATAGCTCTGTGAGGGGAATAGGGGTCTCCCAACAAGGTTCAGTATCCTTAACAAACTATGACTCCCAGGATTCCTTGGGAGAAGGTGTGGCTATTTTAAGTAGTATCATAGTGCTTTAAATGTATGGCATGAATGTAACCTCTTTTTTTTAGCTATCCAAAGTGCTCCATCTAAAAACTGGAGAGTTGCTGTTGCCTGCCATAGCCAACACTGAACTAGATGGGCCAATCAGCTGAAGCAGTACTGTATAAGGCAAGTACTATGTTCCTGTATACACAGGGCTGGCCAGCCCATGAGGCAATGTGAGGTGACCACCTTGGGCGTCAGGATCCGCAGGGGCAGCAGATCTGGCCTCCAAGAAATACATTGCCTACTGCTGCCACCAACTCATTGGAGGTCAGTTCTGTTGTCTTCTCTGAAGCCTTTAGGGGGAAGCACCAGAAAAGAGGTATGAAGCCACAGTTTACTATTGTGATGTTTGTCATACAAACAGGCAAGACAAGACAACCTAAAAGCAATTTAAGGTGTGGAGCTGCCCCAAAGCTTAGATGCTTACATGGAAAATGCCCAACCTGGTTTAAAACTTGAGTGGATGGGAAATGGTAATCAATATTGAAAAGCACAGAGGACTTCCCTGAGCATATTCAGAACTTCTTAATCTGACACTTAATACTGAGGAAGTGCAAATATTTACAGTGGGGAGTGTTTTGCTTCAGAACAGTCTCCAGTCGATCTCTTGCAATCATTGCTAAATACAGGAGATACACAGAAAAGTGTAGGCACCCCCCCGATTTGCACACGGTGATCACAGAAATTGCAGCAACAGCAGGAGTGCATCCAAGGAAATTTGTTGTTGTGAGGGTGCAAGCCTATTGTCCCAGGGAGGAGATCCTGGGGCCCCTGGATTTTTGTAGATCTCCCTCTTTGTGGGCAGAGCAGATCCGTCTGTGGAGATTTCCTCATTGCGCTGTGCCTCCACCCTCAGTGCTTTGACAGTGAATGGCAAAAAGGTGGCATTCTGTGGGCAAATTGCAAAAGGCTTTGAATCTGCTAGCTCCAAAGCCCTGCTATGCCTCCAAAATGAAACCAGAAGGCGGGGAGGAATTTGCTGGCCTTATTGATGACATGCATATTTACTTTTCCAACAGACCATTTGGAAGGAAAACCTTTTCCCCATCTTCTTCTCTACTGGGGTGAGTGAGGCAAGGCCTTGGATTCAGTAGTTCCACTGCCTCATCTACCCTTTTGGATTGTACTGCCCATAAATCAATGGTTCAAGGGATAGCTCAGTCAGTGGAGCATGAGACTCTTAATCCAAGGGTCATGGGTTTGAGCCTCATGTTGGGTGACAGATTCCTGCATTGCGGGTGGTTGGACTAGAACAGGCTTCCTCAACCTCGGCCCTCCAGATGTTTCGAGACTACAATTCCCATCATCCCTGATCACTGGTCCTGCTAGCTAGGGATCATGGGAGTTGTAGGCCAAAAATATCTAGAGGGCCGAGGTTGAAGAAGCCTGGACTAGAATGATCCTCATAGTTCCCTCCAATCCTACAAGTCTGTGATTCTGTGAAGTGGAGTTTGTATTTTTATTTTTGAACAGAGGAGACGTGTAGTTGAATTGCAGAATGGAAGGAGCCAGAGCCTGATAATGTGTTGGAAAGAATAATGGCAAGATGGGACCAGCGGCAGACCTTGGGGTCTCAAATTCCAGCGGCACCCTGTGCAACATTAAAAACTGGCACACACACACGCCTCTCGCCTTCCATTCTACATCATTGTTGCAGCCCCATATTGACTCAGCACCCAACTCCAGCCACAACGATTCATAATAGACTTCACACACTGATAAAATCTGCAGCATTATAAACCAAGGTATGCTCCCGGCTTTTCGGTAGAAAATAGAAATATATGGAAATGAATTATTGAGTCAGTACAGAGTATGATGGTATGACCCAGTGTTTATTGACTCCTGAAACACTTTTTTCCACATTTTTCTTTTTTAAATTAACATGAACACAAAATGTGGGGAGAACAGCAAAATACCACAGAATGTTTCAGTATTCGGCCTACCTGCCAGCAACGATGACCAGCATGTAGCCTGGCAAAAGGTATGTCCAAAATGCACTCCCAGAGATTGTTGAGGAGTCACAGGTGTAAAAAGCGAAAACCATAGAGAGAGATATTTGCCAGCAAATGGATACAATTTTCATGCAAGCAAAATTAGAAATCAATTATTATGAAAATACCAAAAATTACCTAATCAGTGGGTATGGAACAAAACATTTGTACGAGATGCAAATTAAAGACTACAATTTCTGGACTCTCCACCCCACTCCCCTGAAGTTGCTACCTCGTAGGAGCAAAGGAAACACTGGAGGAATATGAGATTACCAGAAGTCTTTCGGCACAGGAAGTCTACAAATGGGCATCCAGGTTTAAAATACAAATAGCCTACTCATAGGAATAGTTCTTTTGTTTTTTAAGAAAGCTGGCATTTTTGCCCAATGTTTATTCCACAGCAAACACAATTGCTTTGAACAGCAACTTTGCCTGGTGTGTTTGATGTGCAAAGGAAACAGATTTGGAAAGGTAATTATTGGGCTGCATGCTTTTAATTGAGTCAACCATTAGACTAATCAATGAAGGCTGCAATCCTGTGCTCTTAATGGTGCACACACCATGTATTCATATAGGGAGTATTATGCTGTAACTCCACGCAATGCTGAATTGCAGTATTTGACATCAGGTAAGAGCATCTGAGGTGAAACTCAAATGTCTAGTAATCATACTTCATTATTACTAAAGGCACTGGAATTATTTCACACCCCTTCCAGTTCCCGTGTCCAATTGGCGCCGTTTGGTTGAGATACCAGCAGTGAATATTTCACTCATATAAAACTCAACCATCAATACTTTTTAGCTTGATCCAATTATTTCATTGATCTGCTGCCACCGTTTCTTAATAGACCACTTAGACTGTTTGCTGAAACAGAATTCAGAACCATTCAAAACAGTTCACCCATTTTTGTAATAATCTGAAAATATCCAAAATTTTGCATAAATATAACGTCACTAAAACATTCAAATACTTTACCACGCTTACAACCATAGTTCTGAGTATTCCTGCATTTTCAAGTTTTTAGATGCTTAGGAGTTAAGAAAGATGAGCACGCAGGCTGTAACTTATCTATGAGTGGTGAGGACAATACGATAATCTTTATTGTCATTGTCCCATACAGAACAACGAAACTGACAGTAGCTTTATAAAAGTGTGTGGTAATATAGTTCTTTTTCAACTGATGTGAGCTATTTATGTTACCTGTGAGGGGGGAGGTTTTATCACTCACTAGCACAGATGGGATGAATCAGCTTCTATGCTTTATCTATTGAAGTCTAATTTGAGCTGATCAATTCTTTCTGAAATTAAGCAGGCTCTCTGTGTTGAAGTCACACAGCAATCCCACCAAAATGCATAAAACCATTTTGATCACACAGGAACCTGAGGATGTGGAACCATTCAGAAGCATCTTAAAATTCAGACTTCAAATATGGCAGCAAGAGTGTCTTTTTTCCCCTTAAAGAAACAACTGTTAATTTGCTACAAAACATATTGCCTTTACATGCTGTGTTGTTAAGTGGCTTAATATTTATCACACACACACAGGTATGTGCTAAGACTAAGCAATGCTTAAATATTAGTCTTGTTCATGGGCTTTAGTTCTGGGAGAGCATTGTGCTTGTCTGGGAATATGATAATGGTCATTCCTTATTTAAATGTATAAAGAGTAATAGCACAAAATGAAACCACTGAAGAAAATGTTGGTTTCTATGAACAAGAAAAAAGCAAACCGCCTGTGTCAATTAAGTTTGTGGAAATATATGGAACATGGAAGAAAATATATACATATGGAAGAACAAAGCAAGGTTCACATCATTGCTATAGGTATGAATGAAATGAGTGAATTTATACTCATGTGTTGTTTGTGTTACATACTTTGGTGAAAACAATACGATTTTGAGGGAAATAACCATTGTATTGCTCCCATTCTACGCATGATCTATGGTAAGTGCTTGAATGACTAGGTTTCTGCTATTGAGAATAAAAAAGTGTTCTTTTCTCTCTCCTTTAAAAAAGTGAAACTAGGGTAAGAAAACTTGTGCTTGGTAATTACTAATCCTGTCTCAGCACAATTCATGGCCCAAATGCAGGAAGGAAATATTTTCCTGCAGTAATGTAAAACCTGGGACCAAGTAATTTCTCCCCACACAAATCACAACATACCCTGAAATAAAAATACACAAACATCTGACCTGCAGTGGGGATATGACTTGGCACCACAGAGACTATGAACCTTAGTCCAAAATGTTTTTATAGCATGCCTGCCTGCAAGGTAATGTGCTATGATATTGCGTAGGTACAGACAGTATCGTACGTCCCATCTGACACTTTTTGCTGGCACAACAAATTTTAGGATTGAGCTGTAAAGGTTGAAGTATCGAACACACTTCCTCATAGACTCACAAACAACAGAGATTGGGTTTGAGATTCAGTTGTACAATCCGAGCTCCATTAATGTCAGAGGAGAAATTAAATAAGAGATGTAAAGTGACTCAGGAATGCATTCTGTATCTGACCACAGCTATCCTGCCATGCAATTACCAGGTCAAAAAAAACCAGACAGAGTTACATTTCCATCATTCAAATTGTGGCAGTTGGAAGATCAGTTTTAAAAGAATAAAAATAAAGCTTGACTAGGTGAATTCTTGGCATATATGCATTCAGTTTATCATCAACTTTTTTTTATTTAAAAAAGGTTTACAAATTTGGGTAGGAGGTGGCTGCTTCCTAAAATGTGTATAGACAGATCATTCATACTTCAGAAAAAGAAGAGGAAAAACAGAAAACAGTGGACAGCTGCTCAACTGCTTCCACCTCTGTCCTGGGGCTCTAAAAGGCAGAGCAATGGAACGCTGCTGCTGCTGCTGCTTGGCTTTAGCAACATGAATAAAATCCAGGCAATTTTATGGGAAATGGGAGGCTTATCCTTTTGGGGGGGGGGATTAACAATATAGGCTGGTGAAGCCAATAGCCTGTGCAGCAAAGTGACAAGGCGGCCCATCAAAAGCCCCACGTTGAACATAATGAAGTTGGCTCCTGACAGACGTGTACTGTAGTTCCGTTTTGCATCCCTGATTGCTTCTGTTGCTGCCCATCTGCAGTCTGCCAGAGAGGGATCCTTCCCATTGAACTAGAAAAACGTACATAAAGTGCAAATCAAGACTCAGGTTTCCCCAACAGTTTCGAATGCTTAGGATCTTTATTACCAGTATTGCCAACTCGGTCTTGTCATTAGCACCAGGCTTGGTGATATTCTTCACTTTCTAAAAAACAACACCTGGTGGCGTTCTTCACTTAAAAGGCAGGTAGAAAAGAGGGGTGCTTTATGCCAAAATGGATGTGGTAGGAAGCTGCCAGGAGTACCATCACTGTAATATGCAAATGCTAGACAGTGCCCAAAAAATTAGTGCATTTCTGCAAGAAGAGAGTCCAGTAATCACCGGAAACAGACCACATCTTTGGATCTTATTGCTTGCAAAACAGTCCCGTATTCATCATTAAAAGGAATTACGTTGGGTATCCCTCTGTTCAGTCTTCGTTGAGAACTGCTTCTGTCTTCCCTGCATCTACAATGAAAGATCAAATATATGATTAAATGCCAGAATACATGTTGCAGGCAGGCCAACATAGTATTCATACTGAATATCTGAGTTTATATATCTTTCCTAGAGAAAACGGCAACATTCTTAGTGTTCGGGTTTGTAGTAGCAGGAATCTGAACCCAGATTTTTGTGGTCTTAACTACACCACCACATGCTTTAAAACCAAACCCTGGTCTTGCTGCTTATCACAACTGTATTTATTTTTTTTTAAAGATCTCTCAAATGCTAAATCAGCAATGAGAACTCAAGAAATCCAAGTAGGCTGAAACTGAATGTTTTGGGGAACGTATGGTTGCCACCTCTCTGCATCTCTTTCCTACCTTCACAGCAAATGTTTCATTCTAAGATGATTTGTGATGTGATGTCATTGTGGTTCAAATTTTCCCACCCACCCTCCATGTCATTGGCACAATGAGATCACATCATCCAGAACAGCAGCAGCAGCAGCTACGCTTTCCTTATCTTGGTCTGGTTCCCACATCATATCAAGCCATATTTTAAAACAAACTATGGTTTAAAGCAGGGGTCAGCAAACTTTTTCAGCAGGGGGCCGGTCCACTGTCCCTCAGATCTTGTGGGGGCTGGACTATATATTTTTTTGGGGAGGGGGGAATGAACGAATTCCTATGCCCCACAAATAACCCAGAGATGCATTTTAAATAAAAGCACACCTTCTACTCATGTAAAAACACCAGGCAGGCCCCACAAATAACCCAGAGGTGCATTTTAAATAAAAGGGCACATTCTACTCATGTAAAAACACGCTGATTCCCGGACTGTCCGTGGGCCAGATTTAGAATTGGGCTGGATCTGGCCCCTGGGCCTTAGGTTGCCTACCCATGGTTTAAAGTGAAGGAGTGGCATCCTGGCGCACCTTGCTCAAACATACCAGAGTCATTCCTTCCCATACTCCTGCTTCTACCTTGCTAGAGAGCAAACAAACCAGAGTTTGGTTGATGTCATCTGAACTTGGCTCATGGGTTGTTTTCTCCAAACAAACCACAAGTGGTAACCAATGTTTCTTGGCTTTCCACTCATGGTTTGTTTGGAGGAAACAAACCAACAATCCCCGGTTCAGGCAACATGACAAGCCAAACTCTGTGTGGTCTAGCTGTGGCAGCAGGAGTAAGGCATGAGCCAGATGCTGCTTGCTCACACTAAACCGTAGTTTGTTCTAAACTATGGACTGGTGTGATGTGTGAACTGGGCCATTACACATTTTGGAGCTCACTTACAAAGAACTGATATTATCCGATTTAAAGTCCAGTGGCCAATCAAGGGAAAGGCAGGCACGGTTGAAGATTGTGAGCATACTGCTCATTCTGAAGTTGCAACGGTTTCAGAGACGCTTCTGCATGGGGGATAAATACTCTGAATGCATTGCCCAAATTGTGGAATGCAGACAGGCTGCTGAATACTATACAGTACATCTTCTGACAGAAACCTATTTTCACATATGAATTGAATTCCTGGATCAGGCCTAAGGTGAATTCCATGTACAGTGGTACCTCGCAAGACGAATGCCTCGCAAGACAAAAAACTCGCTAGACGAAAGGGTTTTTTGTTTTTTGAGCTGCTTCGCAAGACGATTTTCCCTATGGGCTTGCTTCGCAAGACGGAAACGTCTTGCAAGTTTGTTTCCTTTTTCTTAACACCGTTAATACAGTTGCGACTTGACTTCGAGGAGCAACTCATGGAACGCGGTGTGGTAGCCTTTTTTGAGGTTTTAAAAAACTTTGGTGATTTTTGAAGCTTTTCCAAAACTTTCCCGACACCGTGCTTCGCAAGACGAAAAAAATCGCAAGACGACAAAACTCGTGGAACGAATTAATTTCGTCTTGCGAGGCACCACTGTAATTAATTCTAGGGAGCTTGTAATATCACAATATGATGCGTGGCAGATCTGATGATGTCATAAATAAATGAACATACCAACTAAATTCCTGAATTTCTTTTTGGCTTCTGCTCTTTCTTCAGCATCAAAATACCACACAGTCATGGCATACCTGTAAAGGAGAGGAAATTGATTTAAGTCTCTAAATGCTACCCTGAGAGAGGAGAAAACTACACTTTTCTCTCATATAAATAATAATAATAATAATACAGAAAGAGTGATTCACTTCAATGTTAGAAATATATTAATAAGCAGCCAAATTGGTCAGTAGGTGACAGTCTAGGCATGCACATCACAACTCTGTTCATTTGCATGCAAGGCACACAGATATAAATAGGCAGACAAATACAGCTGTTTTTTATGCCTTCATCTCTATCCAGTTATAGACACATCTAGACGCATACAACAGGTAACCTAAGTTGTCTCGAAGTTCTTTATGGCAATATTATGAAATATGAAAATAATGGACTATAGCTACCTAGTACATTGTCTAAAGCAAAGATCATCAGGTGTCACTAACGTAAAAATGCCATCAGAAAGGACCACATGAGCAAAAATATTTTACACATGCCCAGATCAGTGAGAGCAATCATGGCAGCAGCAGCATAAACAGTGGCAAAGGGATGTGGGAAATAATGGTGGCAGGCAAAGGTTCAAGTCAACAGGAGCTTGAGACAACTAGCTGCAGCCACTTCACCCCTCCTTTTGAACAAGTGTTGAAATGAGCCAGGGACCACAGCTAGCCATAGTTTCCGTTTATGTCGGAACCAGGAAACTATGGTTGATAGCTTCCAAACAAGCTAGAATATGAAGTCATATGGTCTAAAGTTGGCTTCCAGATCCTGGCTTGTATGAAAACTATTAACCAGAGTTTCTTGGTTTGGGCAGAACCAGAAGCTACAGCAAATTGTGGCTCTTGGTTGGTTGGTTGGTTTGCTTGCTTGCGCAAAGTGGGGAGCAAAACAGGTGTATGCAGGTGCCTGAAGTTTGTGCTTATTTTGGCTCATTAAATTTAGGTCTCAATCCTCCAAGCCAGGATTTACATGGAAAGCCACTCAACAAAGCATTTGCTATATACCTCAACCTTTATGGGGCCGTTTTGAAAGAAGTGCTTGCTTACATGCACCAGCCCTAGGTGGGTTAGAAAAATCTGCCAGCTGGAGGTACTTTTTTGAACAGGGTTGGACAACATGTTCAGCATCCAAAAGCACAATAGGAATCATATGTTGAGCCAAGAGGTCAACATTAATTTGCATAGTGCTTTACACAAAACCATGCATATGCAAATCACCGTCATTCAGGGCTTTTATTTACTCTAAATGTGAAAAAGCATTAAGTCATTTCCTCACAAATATAAAATATGGCATTAGAAGAAGCTATGGTGAAAAATAAAGATAATGAATCAAAACTGTGTTTATGATGTTCATAGGCAGTTTCTTTATGGTTTTTAAATAACTCATAGTATAATTCCATCAGGGTTTTTTTAAAAATCTATTTTGATTTTGGGATTCTTGTGGATTTTGTTCTTTTTTTAAAATTTATGTTGCTTTTGATTTGATGGTCGTATGTTTTATGTTATATTTAAGTTGTTTGTACACTTACTTACTGTATGCCACCCAGAGAATTTGAGATTGTAAAGTGACATACAAATGCTCTTAGTAATAAACAAGCAAGCAAACAATACAGGTTTTTGTCCCTGCTAATTTCTTCAGCAAAATTCAGCTTTAATGGCTAAGCCATATTGGTCCATCTGCAGATGTGGGGGGAGAGAGAAGGGGGGAAGCCCTGTTGTGCAAGAGGAAGTTCTTATGCAGGGCTTCCTCTGATGACTCATTAGATGAACCCTTTTACTATTTATTACTTGAATAAGAATGTTTCTCTAGGTGACATGCAAAAGAATACACAATTAAAACAATGTTTGAAATAAACAAAACCAATAAAGCCCACTGAACCACAATTCAGTCATAAAATCAACCAATTTTATGGGGCAACCAATTCACTATCAACAGAGCACCCATCCAACAACTAAAACCAATCAATTGCTGTCTATCTTGGGAGCAAGGACATAAAAATGCAAAATATCCATGGATGGATATCGAATCCTCCAGGGCAGATTTGGAGAGCACACAGGAAATGGGGAGAGGCAGGGGTAGCCTGGGTGCCAGGATTGAATTCCATTCCACTCACAGATGCCACAACTGGGTATCATCCAATGGTTGTTTTTTTTAAAAAACTCACATCTTCTTTACCTTGTTGCATAGGAGGGCTGCACTTCATGTGGGTTCCTTCGATCTGACCAGAAAAAAAGTAATCTGTCGAACAGAGGTTCAACATCTGCTACGTAGGACTTGCCCTCTGGGAATATTCGTAGAATTCCACCATGTAGCTTGGGAGAGAGAAAGGAACAGCATTCATTTTTAAACTTAAGAAAATTTAAGATATGGTTGTGAATCATAAGTGTTTGAGAAACAGAAGGGGAGGTTTAATGTAAAGTAAAAGGAAAAATATTACTGGGAGGAGAAGCACCGTTAATGGGCTTAGGAATGATGACTGACTGTCAACAGGATAAATACAGAAGTATAACTCTGTTTAGGCACATGATAGAAAAGAAACAGCTTTATTTATCCTTTCTTTTTATAGAATGCTTGTCTTATCATTTGTGGTGTTGTTTGGTTTTCTTTTCTTTTTTTAAAAAAGGTTGCTGCTTCCTGGCAGGTTCGTTGTAACTTGCAAGCGAGGCTTGATTCTTGAGGATATTTCAAAGTGTACACTTGCATATACGGTTGTTTCTCTTCGGATCCCGCCCCTCCCCATAAACTTCCACGTGGGACACTGTTGTAAAAGTAAAATCTAGTTTGTTAAAAGTGCCAAGGAGGGGAGGCTCCTATGACCCTCACAGAGCAACAATTCAGAGTTCCCTGAGAAGAGAGATTGGTTGCAAAACCACTCTGATAACTGTAGCTCTCTGAGGCAAAGCAACATCTCCTAACAACTCTCAGCACCCTTAACAAAGTACAGTTCCCAGTTTTCTCCAGGGGGAGCCATGGCTGTTTGAAGCGATATGACACAGCTTTAAATGCATAGCACAGATGGGGAAAGAGTTTCCTCACTGTTTTGTCTCTGGTGCGCCAAACCAGGGGGCTTTATTTACCCCCCACTCCTCTCTGTTTATTTGTTGCTCTCAGGCCTGTTACTGGCACTTACACAGCAGCCCAACTGTAAGCCATGGGGCACACCCACAGGGCTGTCACTTTGGTTGAGAGTTTTACTTCACAAGGAGCGTGGGAAGCATCAATGGAAACGGCAGGTACATTTTCCTCCTGGGAAATGCCAAAACTTGGATGAAGAGTCTAACTACGCAGACATCAAAGCCGTCTCTGGTCCCACAATCTGCCAGCCAACCAACTGGAGAGGCAGCAGCAACCTGTGCTGCCTTAAGGCCTTTTAAAAACATGGTGGAGTTTAGAAGCATTTTTCAGCCACCTCTGAGCTCCCAGAATAAGTCCAGGTCGACACATTTCAATAGGGGATTGCAGCCAATTATAGCTCCTGATGAGCTACATATATGATACTTGTGTTTGCCACTTGTAGAGACTTTTGTGTATACTTAAGAAAAATTTTTTTAGGGAATTGGTCCTAATAATATGGCAGCTTGCAAGTTATAATGAGTCCCCCAGGAGGCAGCAACTCATTTCACTCGCTCAGGCAATTTATATACTACTTATATTTAAATAAAACTCTAAGCAGAAAAGAGTTCTAAGAAAATGTAGTCCGGGTTCTTCTATTCCCTACTCAGAGGGTTTGGGATCTTACTGGCTTGGTTTGCACATCAATGGTTTACCACGATCACACCTTTATGGTCTATTTCGCTCCTTGAAGCCACGAATGCCTGGCTTTGTGTTATGTCCGAATCAGGGATCATGGCTTGTTTTGTTCCCAAGAAACCACAATCAGTAGCTGAGTTTGTTCTTGGATTACTGAGCTGGAGTTTTGCAGCAAACAAACCACAATCCCCAGTTCAGCTGCAAAACTAAGCCAGGGATTGTGCTTTGCTTCTTCCCGGGACAAGAGAATAGAAGTGAGCAATGTTTTACCACGATGTGCAAGCTGGGCCATTCTGTCAATATTTCCTTGTCAGTCACGAGGGCTGGGCACTGCTATTGACTGTAGAAGACATTTTTTTCCCAGATTCAGGGCTTTGAAAATTTATGTTTTTGACAGATCCTAAGTGCACAATGCCAACTCACTTCTCTTCAGGTACATCATGGCAAACTGCTTCCAAGCCCTGAACAGGTATGTTAGCAAATACACTGCTATTTATGAGGTTTAGGCTAAGGCATGGAGGGCGAGGCTTACCCAATAATGAAAAAATACAAGTTTGCACAACCTCCTTCTGCATAACGCAAGACAAAAAAAAATCCCTCATAAGCACAATTGTTCCTTTAGCATTCTTTAAAGGTTGTTTCATGGGAGGGAGGGATAGTTCAAAGGATGAGAGGACTACAAACTATCCTGTGATTCTTTATGTAATCTGCTTCAGCTGCCAAAAGCACATTTGTTTCTTTGCGGTGTTGTTTTGTTTTCATCAGGCTAAAACCTTCATTATCCATCTCTTTAAATCCTCAGCCCAGAACCTCCAAATAACTACTTGCCTTCCAAAAATTGCGTGTCAAATGGAAATAAAAATAATGCAACAAGGAAATGAATTTTAGCTTCACGTTTTCCCTGTGCTCACTGTAAACAGTGGTTATGTATCCAGTAACAAAATGGTGTTATGGTTCAGTTGCTTCCCAACCTAGTGCCCTCCTGGTGTTTTTGACTACAACTCCCATTAGGTGTGCCAGACGAGGCTGAGAGAAGTTGTCATCTGAAACATCTGGATGTGCTAGATTGGGGAAGTCTGGCTTAGGCCAGGAGCGGATGGCAGGGGAAGCATCACAGCTGGCATCACCTCATGACAATGGTGGCACTGCCACATTCTGGGGTGGGGTGGGGTGGAGCAGTGCATCATTGATGTCAGAGCATTTAAGTTGCACCACAGAGTCCACCTGACAACAAAAATGCTGTCCACAGCACTGTCCATCTCACCTGCTACTCCTGGCTGAAGACATTCTACACAGTTCAATATAGTGTTAAAGAGTAAGAAAGCAGTACAATGCAGAAGGCAAACTTTGAGTGCCTCTCAAAATATCACCGTCTTCCTACCTTCGAATCCCAGTTCTTGTTCAGGTAGTAAATACAGGTGATACAGCGCCCATCGCCATTGGGATTGTCTACATGACGCACATAGCCAGTTCCATTTCCAGGGTAGCAGGCTACCATTGCCTAAGCGATGAAATGCAAAGAGAATGAACATTGGTTAGATTTTTCTTCATGGATGTTTTATAGTTTGTTTTTTGAAGAAAATACTTAAAATGCATAAACAGCAAACATCAATGGAACGCTCACAGTAAACCTGTTGAGAGAAACATATACCCCACCCTGGGAATCAATGATAATTGACACAGAAGCAAGCAAAGCGCGTAACACAAACTGAAATCAAGAGAATACCAAACTGAGATGAGAAAACCAATACGAACGAGATAAAATGGCAATAAGGGGATAATGTAGAAGAGAAATGGATAAAATATTTGCAGATACCAATAGAATTAAGTGAAGATTTTTTTAATTAAAAAATGAATAAACAAACCCCCCAAATAATGTTTCCACTTTTTTCTTAAACTTTCTATTTACTCTTTTTTGCCATGACCCAAACAATGCCAAGCTTTTCAATGCCACTGATCACAAACTGATTTCTGTAGGTGCTAACAAGATTATTCGCACACACCCCATTCTCCTGTAAAATCAATGCTTTTAAGAAGCAATGCTCCTGGATAAAGAATGTGAAACTCATTCTCATTTCAACTGATTCGTAAATAATTTTAAGCTGGAGATTAGAAGCAGGTGAAACTGAGGAATAGTCAGTCAAGGGCCGGCAGAGACCTTAAAAATACATTTTAAAAATTCTGCAGTATTAGTGTAGGAATGGTTGGCCCAATCCTGCCTGAAGTTGTCCTGTCTGCACATGCACACCCACCCCACCCGAAATTCAAGCAAGCACCGTGTAAGCACAGGCTGTTAGTGTATGGTCACTTTCTAGTCCATTCTGGTGCTACAGTGCTAGGGTTCAAGGGGCCAAACTAGACATTCCATGAAAATGCTTATACTGACAGTGGCAACTACCTTTCCATCACCGCCAAAATTGTGGTGCATTTGAAGCAGACCAAGAGGAGGGAAGTGGCATGAAGGGGCAACATGAAGCAGAAACCTATCATGCATACAGTTTTTCTTACTCACATTAGAACATAATAAAGAGTCCTGCTGGACCAGGTCAAGGACCAATCTGGTCTAGCTTCCTGTTCTCACAGTGGCTAACTAGATGCCTATGGGAAGCCCAAAAGCAGGACTCATGTCCAACAGTACTCTCCCCACTTGAAATTCCCAGCAATTTAGAGGCAGTCTGCCTCCACAGTGGAGACAGAATGCAACCCTCAAGGCTAATAACTGCCAATAGCTCTATCCTCCAAAAATTACTCCAAAGCTGCTTTTACTGGTGATAACAGAAACTAGAGGGTTTGGTATATATATATATTTCTGTGTAATGCCTAGTTCTCAGCCCTAAGTTATTCAAGTGATTTTCAAACGACACAATCCACTAGGAAGTTCTCCTGAGCAAATCCCATTGAAATGAATGGCAGGTGTGCAGAAGCACTTGCATAGATCACTTTCATTTTACTGGGACTTTCCAAGGAGAACTTTCAGGGTGTGGTTTCAGAGTACAGGACTGAGAGTTGGCCAGGTGTGGATAACAACAGGCCATGTTTTCTTGCGAGGAAACAGGCTGTAATGGTGATGCTCTAAAGATTATCTCCATTTTCATTATCTGCCCCTGAGTTTGCCATATCCAAAGGAGCGTTTCTAAATGCTTTCCCATAGCCACTTATTTCAGGTACCATAATAACATACTGTTCTCTCATATACTCTCATTTTCTTTCAAAGTGCTCAAGTGATAGTTTCCTTCTTTCTTTCTGCTTTATATCTAAACACCTTGAAGGGAGCAAATCTCCACAGCCTGAGGTCGCTCTTGGCTCTTTTGCTGAGCTTTCCAAATCTATCAGACTACGCCGACATGGTATATGTGTCTGGTGTATGAGGCTGAGCTGCAGAATTGGCCAAAACATACTGTATTACACTTCTTGTTCTGAATATTTTCAATACACCATTAGTCCTCATTTTGTTTAGTTTACCAGACCAACAAATTTGAAACACCCACCATAAAGCGCAACTGAAGACAACAAGGGAGAATGCATGTTGCGTTCCAGGTGGGCAGGAAAAGGAGGTTCTTCACGGCACGTACTCATTCAGTCTGCTTTTACAACTGGAACAATATCGGAGGCCTGAGGCTGTCATTCCTGATTATCTTAATCACCACCACTTGCTGGAGGCCAAGTGTCTCCTAATCTGGAGAGGCAGGTGTCCATAGTTACAAGGGGAAATTCTCACCTCACCTCTCTGTGGGGGAAGGGGTACCGGTGCTCACCTGGAAGCCCCTGGGTCGGAGGCAGGTGGTGCCACAACCTGGTGAGGAAGCTTTGAAGTAAGATGCAATGGGAGTAACCATAGATCAGTGGAAGAGTGCATGCACTGCATGAAGATGCTCCCAGGTTCTATAGTTCTGCTCTATGCTGCGTTGGTCAGACCACACCTGGAATACCGTGTCCAGTTCAGGGTGCCGCTATTTAAGAAGGGTATTGACTAGTTGGAATGTGTGCAGAGGAGGGCAACCAAGATGATCAAGGGTCTGGAAACCTAGTCATATGAGGAACAGTTGAAGGTGGTGGATTCTCCTTCCTAGGAGGTTTTTAAGCAGAGGTTGGATGGCCATCTGTCATGGATGCTTTAGTTGAAATTTCTGCATTGCAGGGGGTTGGACTAGAAGACCCTTGGGACACCTTCCAGCTCTATGATATGCCTTGCATCTGCATTAAAAGACTGAGGTGGCAGGTGATGTGAAAGACCTCCACCTGAGCCTCTAAAGAGCCACTGCCAGTCAGGATAGATAAAACTGAACTAGTATGCAATTAACCTGACCTGGAAAAACGCAACTTGATATGTATTCTCTATCTTCTTCAAACACATAATATTTCCATTACCACAAATGTTCTCTCACTAAATAATATAGATTTGTAGAGAGGAGGACTTGATTGCCAGTAGTTTGGTAACAGGTTAAAAAAGTATTATTATTATTATTGTTATTTTATTTATACCCCGCCCATCTGGCTGGGTTTCCCCAGCCACTCTGGGCGGCTTCCAACAAAATATTAAAATACAGTAATGCATCAAACATGGTTTTCATCTGCTTGTACTGATTGGTGAAAATATGAATAAATTAACATATGTACCATTGGATATCTTGGGCCAATATAGGGCAGCATACAGCTCACACCGGCTATACAAAGGAAACAATCTTGGCATAGTGCCATGTCCATTCAGTGATACTTCATACAGTCCTGCCCAGAGAGATATTATTGGATTCATATTCTAAACCCTCGGATTTAGAATACAAGAAAGGAAACAGCAGGCAAAACATCTCTTCCACCCTTCCTTTCGTCCCCACCGCCACATAAAAACACAATTGGTGGTTTAGTTACACAAGCCTCTCTCTCCAATTCTGGTTGAAATTCATCAAAGAATGCTTGCAACACAGAGAGCAAAGCAAATTAATGATAAAAAAGATATTGGCAATTAATTGGTAGTGGATGCCTTGCTTTATTTGTTCTAGACACATATACATAAAAACAGAAACACTGGACGTTTTGCAACATGGAACAGACAGTATGTTGCTTTTAATCAAAAGCAAGATAAAATCACCAGCAATTATAGGTTTATAATAAATCCAGTTCACCTGTTTCTGCATAGGTTGCTAGCTGAACAGATGTTTGGCACTCTAAACCTTGGCTGTGCTGATTACGCATTGGAGGAGGGCCTCAAGTTCAGTTCCCCTGAACAGATGACAGGTGCATTCAAAGTGAACCAGCTGGTGTGGCGATTGCACACTGAGATCCAAATCTGCAAGGATCATCGTAAAGTGCGTGAACCATTTTTAACCCTGTGTAGGAGCCAATCAAGAAGGCAATACATGCGTGAGAGTCTGTTGAGAGGCATGGATTAGCCTTACTGGAACATGGTTTGCATGTTGTTTGCTCTCAAGAGATCAGGTTCTTAATAATAATAATAATAATAATAATAATAATAATGCAGTCCAGCTAATGATGAGCAGCTGGAAACTTCACAGAGTCAAGGTGGTGTAGTGGTTAGAGTGCCAGGCTAGGACCTTGAGAGACACAGATTCAAAACCTTACTAAGCCACAGACACAAACTCTAGTGTTCAAAAGCCTTTGCCATAAATATATTTGTGAAGTTTATGAAGCTCGGTGGGTAACGTTGGTCCAATCACCATCTCTTCAGCTTAATTTACCTCACAGGGTTGTTGCAGGAATAAAATTGGATCCTACCCGAGATTTTAAGAGGGAAGCACACATTTGCTGTTTTTACTAGGAGTTATCAATCAATTGTTTATATCAGCACAGCTAGAGAAATGTTGCAAGACACTATTCCAAATGGCTTTGGATTTATGTCATTAAGGGGTAGGGTTTTGCACCTACTACACTGGGTTTTAAAAAAACAACTTCCTGTTGAATTTGCAATGGGACTTTAATGGGAAACTATAACTATTTTCTGATCCAAAACCAAGAGGCAGGCTATATATTTAAATATATAAATGTATATGAATAAATGATTAGAATAACGCACCCAAAAAAATCCTTATGTTAAAAAGTGACAGCTCAGGCAGCATAACGTGAGTGGAGAAGAAGGGCTGAAACATTATATACTTTCCACCAACCCCTAGATAAAGGCTTAAACAATCATAGAATTGTATAGTTGGAAGGAATCCAGAGGGTCATCTAGTCCAACCCCCTGCAATGCAGGAATCTCATGTATCCATGACAAAAGGGCCATCCAACCTGTGTTATAAAACCTCCAATGAAGGAGAGTCCACCACTTTCCTAGGGCGTCCGTTCCTCAGAAGACGCATTTTGAGGCTGATGGAACACCACAAAAGTTACTGGAACAATGTAAGCTCATCTGTGTCTGAGAAATACCCCGTCCTGCCCCAAAACAACCCAAAGCACTTTCTCCACTTTCCCCTGTTGCTTTTGTTTAAACTGAAAGAATGCCCCCCCCCCATTTTTAGGCCCCAGGATTGACTGGAGAAATGACCTGTTTTCTCACTGGCTTTCTTGAGAAAAGTTGGTTCATTTCCAGGTGAATTTAAGGGCAGGGGTGGGGTAGGGGGCAGAGATCTTCTCCATCTCTTAACTTGGTGGCAGGATCCTGTCCCAAGCTTGGGGGTGGGAGGGATGTAATTTCCGGGGTTAGAAATGAATAAAATAAATGGATAAAAAAATTAAAAGCTTGCCCCCTCTCAAACTGGCTGTGTATTCTCACTTTGCATTTTCACCACAGAGCAAAAGTCTGAAGGCTTTTTTTGGGGGGGGGGAGAGATAAAGGCTGAGAGAAACGCTCAGGCCACAGAATTGTGATTTTTGCTCAGAGTCTGCTCTAATTATCAAAACAATTAATCTTTCTTTTGTGAGAAGGGTGTTGTCTTACTCTTTAGCCCCTTCCTGCCCCTCCACCCTTCAACTTATATTGTGATGGATATTTATCTGCAAGCCTCCTAACTCCTCCTGTCCTCTCATCATTAGGCTCCTTCCTGGGTTCCTGAACATTTAAACTTCTTGTTTTCCCTTTTTAAATCGCATGCAGCAGATGTTCCCATTTTCTGCCCCCCCCCCCCCGAAGTGCCCATAATTTAAGAACTGATCAACTGGACACAGAAAGCAGCCATGCCATCACAAGCCGACAATGCAAGAGGCTGTTGAAAACTAATTATTTTCCTGCGCAGGGTGCGGGAGGGAGGGGAGTCAGGAGCCAGCCTCCAATTAGCAAGAGCAAACACTCCGGGTGCATCAATGTATATAGATATATAATATATATGTATGTCTATATACACACACATGTTTCAGTGGAAGCTCTTTCGGTTCAGGGAGACTTCCTCAAACTGCTGTGTGTGTGATCTGGCTCCTTGCCAGCTAGATGATGGCTTAATGACAGTGCTACGTGCAGAGCGTGAGGCTATCAGCAATCAAACACAAACTTCACTCTAGAGTACACTTCACAGAGAAGCGGTCGAGGGAAGGGAAAGCACATCGAAAACATACAGCGCTTCTCAGTTCTGATTCTTGCTGAAAGCCCCCCCCCTCCCCACCCTACTATCCCCAGACAAGAACGTACACACAGAAAACCCTTTCATTCCCTTGCCTCTCGCATTCTTCTGGAGCTGAATACAAGGGGATACATACAGTGAGTTGATATAGTTTTTTTATTATTATTAATTTATATACCACTTAATATGCAAAATCCCAAAGCGGTTAACATACAACAAAGTAAGACAATTAAACAGAAAAGAAAAATTGATACACAACACTTAAAACTCAAAATACAAAGAAATGCATGGGTAAAAACATCCTATGCCCTTTTAAAATGTTTTTTGTAGGGAGTGGCTATTGGGTTGTTATTTTTATTTTTATTATGTATTTTGTGGTTTTATATCTTGATTTTATTCTGTGAACAGCCCTGAGACCCCCAGGTATAAGGCGGTATATAAATTCAATCAATCAATCAATCAATCAATCAATCAATCAATCCAGAAAAGCCATCAAGAAAACATTCAGTTCAATGTCAATAAATAATAAAACAGAACAGTGTGAAGAATCTTATGAGCCAGAAAACACCTGCATAAAGAGATGGGTGGGTCTTCAGGAGGTGTTTAAAGCTTTCCATTCATTCTACATCATGAACAGCACATGGAAGGGTGGCCCAGAGAGTGGGCAGAATTCTGACCAGTGGCCATGTTAACTGGGGTGGATGAGAGTCCAGTAAGAGCTGAAATGCCACAGTTTCCTCAGTCCTGATTTAAAAGATAAATCCAGCAACGGGATTGGGACTGCCCTCAGAGCATCCTCTGTGGAACCCCTTTACCTCAGCAGTGCTTACAACAACCTTGTGGTGTTGGCCAGTGTCATTTTCCTAACATCACAGGTGGGTGGTTGAGGTTGAGAGAATGGTGTCTTGCATGAATAGTGCTTCTATCCTACCCCTGAGCCAAGATCAACTAGCAAACCCAGAATGATGACCTTCTGAGTTGCAGCACATCCACTTGCTTGAGTCATCTGCTCTGAAGAAACCTTAGTGCGTTACACCTTGTTTGCAGTGCTTTGTGGGTTTGGAAAGAATATTCACTGTGTAAGGAAAACTTGTGACGGGCCTTCCCTAATACAGTGGTACCTCGGGTTAAGAACTTAATTCGTTCCAGAGGTCCGTTCTTAACCTGAAACTGTTCTTAACCTGAGGTACCACTTTAGCTAATGGGGTCTCCATTAGCTCCACGTGCCGCCGCCGCCACGCGATTTCTGTTCTCATCCTGAAGCAAAGTTCTTAATCCGAGATACTTTTTCTGGGTTAGCAGAGTCTGTAACCTGAAGCATCTGTAACCTGTGGTACCAACTGTACCAGGAAGCAGTCTATTTAAGTGGGGGTTGGTGTTTTTCTAAGGACTGTTTGCCAGTTCCTCACTTCCAAGAGTCATATCCTCACCAAACATCTAAAAGGCATTCTTATATCACCCACAGTCATGGCTTCCCTCAAAGGATCCTGGGAGCTGTAGTTTAAGGGTGCTGGGAACAGTAGCTCTGTGAGGGCATCTCTTAACAACTCTCAGCACCCTTAAAAAATTATGTCGCCCAGAATTCTCTGAGAGAAGTCGTGGCTGTTAAGGTGGTATAAGAATGCTTTAAAGATATGTGATCTTCTCCCTGTTTCAACACGGAATAGAGTCATAACCTTAAAAGGAATCTGCTTCAGGTTATTTTAAGTATATCTATATATGTGTAAGTTATATCTATACAGCAGCAGGGAAATGTGTGGTTGCTGAATTTTTCAGCAGTCCCTGCAAGCATTTAGAACTTTATAATTCTGTTTTATTAATCACCCAACAGAATACTGGCACAGCTGATGTATCAATTAATTAATGCCTTCTGGAGCGCCATTTAAAGTAAATATGCATACCTAGAGATGGCAACGTGAGGTTCTATGTTTAAAAACCACTGGCCCTGATCTGGTCCTAGTAACATTAATACAGTAATTAATTGATAAAAGTCCCACTTGACAAGGACCTGTCCTGCCTGTTTTTTGTAAAGTGTAAGGTACATAGAAGATGGTGCTATATGTCCGTAAGAAGTAGGAAAAGTGTGCTTTATCAGCCATATCACCAAACTGAAACTAAAGCATCAGAGATTTTCAGTCTGGTTTTAAAAAGGGTAAGTATGCCCTGTCTCCCTTTGATCCTATAAACTTTCCTGCACCTCTTTGAATGTATGCAATCCACAAATGAAAAAAAACAAAAACAAACAAACAAAAACCAGCACAGGAATTGTTTGCATTTAAGTGCTACCCTGGGGAGGGTCCCAGCCAATTATTTCATTTGCAGCTCCAGTCACAGGAACCTAAGAACCTGCCTTATACTGAGTCAGATCAATAACTCATCAGAGTAGCCTACACTGGAATCCTGGAGAGCGGCTGCTATAGCCAGACAGGACTGTCTTCCAGCCCTACCTGGGGATACTATAGCAACAGTGCTTCCTTGCAAGTGGATCTGCTGGTAAGTCAGAGGTATAGCTCCACTGGCAGACTGTAGCTGGGTCCATTCCCACCAGCAGGTGCACGCACGAGGAGGAGGAGGAAGAAGATGCTTTGTGATGTCTGGTCCATTCCCTGGCAGCAATTTCTACTTAGGAGGAAGGGGATAGCCATTGCAAGCAGATTTCCATGCTTCAATCTGCTTCTGAGTAGAACTGCAGGCCTGGAAGGGGCCCCATGTCCAGATGTCATTGAAACATCACTAGATTATCTTCTATTAGGTCATTTTCCATAGGAGAACTCCACCAGGTAGTTCTCCATATGAGACAGATGCTCGCAGGTAACAGTACAGATTAATATATGGGGTGGGTGGGGACAATTGGTCTGAATGTGCCTAAATGATGGCAATGTTTTTTTGTTACTGAATATTCCCCAGTTAATACAAATTACCAAAGATTTCTTATGTTTTGTTTTAAGAAATGAAGTCATGCCTGATTCACCTGTGGATGCCATGGAAGTGAATCACTAGAAGGCTCAGGGCACACAGTTAACAGCCAGGTGAGGGAGAGAGAGAAAAAAAGGAGGTCTCTGTTGACCCCATGCCAATCACTCTCCAGATGTGTAGGATCATGGAACATGCACAGAGTCTTAATTCAGCAAAGCAGAAACTCGGAGGGAAAAAATACAAAAATGCAAAGGGGAAAAACAAACCCGCAAGAACAAAATGACAATCCAATTGCTCGACTTTGAAATATTCAGATTCAGGAAGCAATATAAGTACAAAGTAATTCCCAAGGGCTTCTTGTGATTGATTATCATTAATCACTTCAGAGGTGAAAACCCAGGGAAAGTAAGCGATTTTTCAACAAGCTAGTGGCAAGAGTTCAAAAGCAAATCAAGATTGGATGATGCCTGAAACAGTACTTTAGCCACAGGCCAAGATTACTGAACATACCAAAATCCGACACCAAATTCTGCACATAGTAAAGTGCACACAAGAAACCACAGAAGTTCATATTTGCGCAGCCTCCACAATTATTCTAGGAAAATGCTCCATCCAACAATTGCATGATGCACATGGCTAACAGTTAATTTGTATTTTATTTTTAAAGGTGGATCCAAGTTCCTGAGATTTAAATGGCAAAATATATGTACCTGTGCAATTGAGAATGGCCACATGCATAATTAACCACAGAAGAAGCTGCTGGGAAAGGACTGGGCCTCCCTTCTCTGTGTGAAGTAATCAGACTGTTTCATTGTACAGGCAATGGGCACAATTGAGGTGATGTGTGCTTCTTTCTTTCTAAGCTTAGGTACGAAAAGTACATGAGTTTACATACACAAGCATTAATCAACTCTAACTCACTTTCCTCAAAAGCTTCTTTCCTTAAAATTCAGTTTCTTCCACAAAAACCCATCTGGTTTTTGAGAGTCGTATATTGGTCCATCTGGTACTTTCTGCCACCGCATCCTCATTCTTGCTAGTCTTCCAAACAGTCAAAAATAGGGAACCTGCAGCCTTCCAGGCATTGTTGGACTGCCTCCCACCATCCCTTACCATTGGATATGCTTGCTGGAACTGATGACAGTTGGGGGGGTCTAAAACTACCTGAAAGACCACGGGTTCCACAGCCCTCATATATTTCAACCCCGACATCATTATTTGCCTTTTTTCCATCCATGTTCTTAAGGTCCAACCATAAGCCTCTTTTGAAAATACGTCATACTGATTTCAATGGGATTTACTTTACCAGTTACGTACATCTTTACATGGGAAGGACCCAAATAACATCTGATCCCTGTATGACACACACTGCACATTTCTGCAGCTCCATGAATGTTAGAAAGAACAAAAATGATATACAAGCCACCTATCATCATCATCAATTACATTTATATCCCACCTTCAAGGAACTTAAGGAGGAATACATGGTTCTCCTCCCAATCCATTTTATCTTACACCAGCCCTGTGAGGTAGGTTAGGTTAACAGAGGACTATCAAGAGCCCAAGCATTACTGTCTAGTCTCTAGAGTGTGATACTGGTCTCTGATTATGAGGCTTATTATAGAGTCTAGTGTGACCACAAAACAGAACCTAGGATAAAGGTATGTTTGTGGCTATGCAGTTAGAAGCAGGCTTGGGATTATTCTCAAGGGCACCCCTTTATTTTCTCCCCTAAAAGGGGGGAAAACAATGCAAATGGGTGAAAGTCACCTCTGTGAACTAAACAAGACCTTTTTACACGTCATAATGACAGGCATATTGCTTGTTGTTAATAATAAACCTCTCCTACCTCACTTGAAAAGTGATTGTGTTCAAGCCATGCTATAAAATCCAGCTCTAGACTAGATAGGGGGTCAAGTCTGTTGCTAATGCAATGAGATTTATATCAATGGCACATTGGTGTTACCTGTGTAATCAATGGGAAATAAATGTCTTAAGATGTATAACCTACCATGGAGGAATCCTGATTATTTCCTAGTTCATCGATCATGCTGGAAACTGCTACACGAAGAAAGCAAGAGGATTAATCTCTCAACCCAAGAAGGAACATAGTTTCCCCCTGCCAATGGGGACACACACACACACACACACACACACACACACACGTATTTTGTCCTTTGGACAGTGACCCTGGAGAGATGCTGCCACCATCTGACAGCAAAGACGACTATGTTTTATGTGCTCACGCTACATGTGCACTTGAGAACAGGCCATACCTCAGGTTAAAAAGAGAGATATCACATTAGAACAAGCAGCAGTCAAGCAAAGCATCCACAAGACTGCCCACAGGATGCTAGACCAGAGGGGCCAGTGGCCTGATCCAGCAGCTCTTCTTTTGGGTGGAGAGGGCATCCCTCCCACACATTCCTAATATAAGATGAGTCCAGTGAAAAAGGCTCCCATTCTCCCCTTTGAGTTCGGAAGAAAATGGAACTGTGGCAATTCAAATGAGTGCCCAAGGCCAGCTTGACTGACCAGCGATATGGGATGCAAAGGGGGCTAAGTCTGAAGAAACACCGTAAGAGCCTGCTGAATCAGGCCAATGGCACATTAACTCCAGTATCCTGTTCTCGCAACAGCCAACCAGGGTTACAATTGCCAAAACGGAATGCCTAGTTGCCATTTTTGAGCCTGATGGCTTGAAAGCTGTACATATTCTTCAATAAGACTTTGGGGCTCCTGAAATTCATTCTGATTGTGCAGATATAATTATACAGGAGGTGTTGCTAGTGTGTGAAAACAGTCAAGATCCAAGGATCCCCAGGCATGCACCTCCATATGGCACCATCCTGGTGTCTGGGCATCTTCACTTGGTCACAAGTGGCTGGCAGCCAGGTGCAAAATGTGCCTGGCACCTGGTGAATTTTGAACACTGCCTGCAACAGTGCTCTTCGCACTTGCGATTCCCAGGAACTACCATTCAGAAGAAGCATCCTGCATCTGACAATGGAAGCTGAACATTGTGTCTAGCAGCCATTGATAGCCTTATCCTTTTGTCTAATCCTCTTTTAAAGAAGCCAGTTGCTCTGAAATAGCCGAGTTGGGTGCTGGTACAAGAAGCACGGTAGAAACTGCCAGCAGTTATTATAGCTCACTGAACTCTGGAGCCTGCACTAAGTCTGCTTTAGAACAGCACACTCTGTGCTCATTGTTGCTTCTTCTGAACCACTGCTTTTTGGCCTGTACATTGGGGGTGGGTTTTCACGATGGCACCAAAAGGACTGATATGCCTCATCCTCCCAAGCAAACTGAACCTTCAAAATGGACTAGACTACACTATGTGGGTAAGAAGGAATGAAGCTCCTACTTACGACATTCATCTTTTGTTTCCATGGGCCACGTAAGCCCACACTTCACAGGAGAGCCCCCTGAAGGCCTACGGGAACTTTCAAGAAGCTCTGCTATCAGCCAAGGTCTCAACAAGCAGAAGTTCCCCCCCAGGCCAGGTAGAGCTTATCACATCAAGGCCTTGCTTCATACTTAAGTGTCTGACAATTGTTTAAATGCTCACAGAATCAGACCGTGAGCACAAAGCATGCCGGCTTGCCTATCTATCTCCCAATCTCTTTGAGAAGTGCTTCTTACAATGCAGCCCCTCATCTATACTACATCCCGGGTGCTATTGCAAATACACTTAGCAGAATTACCTATATGTATCTCAGGCAATAAAGCAGAATCTAGTCTTAAGTCGAATGCCGCCAAGCACACAGTCATAACTAAACACTGCAATCAGCGAAGTGATTATTTTGATGAAAATATTAGCTGGCAGTAATCGGTTTTTATAGCCAAAAAATTGCTTTCATTGCTACAAATTGAGTGCTTGCACCAGACCTTGATCCAGCACATATTAAGTGGAATTAAGTCCCATTTACATGGGAGGAAGTCGCAGCAGTTTCAACGAAACCTGTTACGAAATAATGCCTGTGTTCCAGCACGTCCGTGAGAGCAAGAAGAAGAGTTGGCCCAAATGGGAAGGGGGTGCAGATTTTGTTTTCCAAACAGCAGCAGCAGCACCGCCCATAAGATATCACTGTTTGAAAAACAAAGGCAAAAGTAATGGGGAACCAAATAGCACATTTCTCTGGATCAAAGTCAGTGAGCTAAGGGTGTGCTTACATCCACTTATGCAAACTACAATGCATGCATGTTCACTACTAGTTTGTATAATATCTAATTTTAATTAACAAAACTAAAGAAGTATTTTTGTTGCCAAAAAGAAAAGTTGTCATAGGAAGCTAAGTCAGACTATTAGTCCATTTAGTTCAGTACAGTGGTACCTTGGTTCTAAAGCGCCTTGGTACTCAAACAACTTGGAACCCGGAAGTAAGTGTTCCAGTTTGTGAACTTTTTGCAGAAGCCGAATGTGCTCCATTTTGAGTGCTACGCTTCCGTTCTGAGTTCCAAACTTCCGTTTTGAGTGTTACAATGAGGTCTGTCTGGTTTTGCTATTTATTTTGCGTTTTTGTGTCTCTTTTGTTTTTGTGACTGTGTGGAACCCAGTTCAGGCAATGACTGACTGATTGATTATTGTGTGAGTGCAGTACCTTAATTATTGCTTTCATTTTATGGATCAATGGTCTTGTTAGATAGAAATTTTCATGTTGAATTACTGTTTTAGGGGTTGTTTTTAAAAGTCTGGAACGGATTAATCTATTTTGCATTACTTTCAATGGGAAAGCGCGCCTTGGTTTTGGAACATTTTGGTTTAGCAAAGGAATTCTGGAACGGTTTAAGTTTGAGAACCAAGATACCACTGTACTGCTGACACTGACTGGCAGTAGCTCTCCAGGGTCTCAGACAGGGAGTGGGTGTTTTCTGCAGGGGTTCCAGAACCAGAAGTGGCTGTGGGTTGCTGATCAGGGACAGAGAGCTTAGGAAGCAAAATACAGGCAATAGGCACAGGAACATCAATGCAAAGCAATGCAAGCAGCGCTGGCACAGCTTTCCATTCAAGCTGCCAACAGCATCCATACTTTTAACACAGACTGCAAAATCAGAATCTATAATAGCAGAACTATTCATTAATTTAACTTCCTGCTAACATACGATTAATTTTCTGTCCGACCCAAGATGGAAGATCTATGCATAAACTGGAGCCCCTAGCAAGACCGGCGTTTTCATTCCCTCTTGCCCATAAGCTTTGGAAGAATGACATTTACTGAAGCAGCTGATTCTAGAAGGAAATAAAGATACCAAAGTAAATTGTTAACTCAATTAGACACCTGGAATTCCTTCTGCAAACAAACAGGTTTGCCTTTCAGCAGACGCACTTGCCTGCATCAATCAGTGTAATGAACATCCGTGCCTTTCCATTCATTAGGGACATTTTTAATGCATTATTCATTTTAAAAAACCACACATTTCTGGAGGTGAAAATAATTGCATTAAAACATATAAGCAAATTATACTGGTTTTGGAACACAAGGATAAGGAGTTGCCTTATACCAAATCAGGCCACTAGTCCACCTAGAGCAATATTAGACCTATCCACACATTGCTTGTGTGGATTTCAATGGCATGTTGACTTAGAGCAGAGCCACATTTTAGCCACACCCCTGACATCAGCCCTTCTTCCTGCAACAACCAAAAACCAAAATATGAGCTCCCTAGGAGTAGGGGGCTCCACATGATCAGAGCACCTGGTTGTGAAGATGCCCCAATGGTGTGGAGCCTCAACTGAGAAGCAGCTCATCCACATCAGGGTTTCTTTACAGACACAGTGCGTGACACAGATAGGAGCAATGTCATGGTTGAGGCTAAAAGTGCATGACAATCATATTCTACTAACATGTAAGTTGTGCTACTCTGTACACTCGGAAACTGTCCAAGGTTTCAGACAATGAACTTCTCCCAGGTCTGTCTGGAGTTGACAAGGCTGAATACCTGGGACAGTTTGCATGAAAATAAATACTTGATAGCCCTTCATAGAATTGTAGAGTTGGAAGGGACCCAAGCAGTCATCTAGTCCAACCCCCTGCAATGCAGGAATCTCAACTAAAGCATCCAAGACAGATGGCCATCCAACCTCTGCTTGAAAACCTCCAGTGAATGAGAGTCCACAACCTCCTTCCGCCAATGACTGTTGGGAAGGGCTGTGTGGTGTATCAAACACAGATCTTGGAAGAACTAGCCCGAACCACCTGAGCTCCAAAACTAGAAACAAGACTACCAAGACCGTGGCTAAGGGAATGGCTTGGGGAAAGGGAGTGAAGGAAGAAATGCAGATGCACTCATCCTAAAAATTCTGCCCTGCACATCTACCCCCTTGCATTTGCATTTCCTTGTGGATTTAGAAACATACTGTCATTATATTTTCATAATGATGTTCTCCTGGACATATGAAAATTCAGTTCCTACAAGTAATCAGGAGTCTATGATGACTAAGAGCAAAAGGCATATTCTCTGTTTAGTTCACAGGAAAAGGTCACATACAGTTTAAGCAATTTACACAATACCTTTTTACAGGAAGCAGAAAAGAAGACTTGGCAACGTCAATGACAATGTGACCGATTAGGGGACCTGATTAACAACCTGATTTTAAAACAAAGCAGTTAGAAATAGTCCAGTGACTTCATGCTTCAGCTGAAGCAACCTATAGCTTGGACCCAATAGGAACAGAAAGAAAGAGCAGTGAGTATGTTTAAACTGCTCCATATCCTAGATCATAGTGGGGGGGGGGGCATATGTTTTTGAGTAGAATAAGATGGAATGGTAATAAAAGGTCCATGCATGGTTTGGTGGGAGTAGGCACCAAGAATGCTGGGACAGTTGGTGACTTGTTGTTGTTGTTTAGTCGTGTCTGTCTCTTGGTGACTTAGTTATCCTCAAGGAACATTCTGGTGGACATGGAGCAAGTTAGGGAGGCCACACCCTGAAATTAGATGGTTATATTTGGGCAATGTAGATTCTTCTACACCACTGTCCTCATTCATTCACATTAAGTGGGTGACAGGCTCATGTACCATCATGGTTCACACAAATGTTTCTGGAACAGCATTCTTCATTAACCAAATCTGATTGTTCGGATACTAACTAAATTCAATAAACAACAACTTCACTGTGTGCCCTCCAAGTAGTTCTGTGCCCGTGGAACAAAATCTAAAGAGAACAAATTATCCTTAAAATTAGTATACAGACTACGTGTGTGGATTATATCCATTCATCATTTCTATTGCAAATGTACAGGTCCTTGTACAATTATAATTGAATACATCTTCCACAATAACCTGTGAGAAAGGCCAAGCTGAGAGGAGCACATTTGTCCAAGACTCATTCTTATGATGGAAATTCACTCCTAGGTCATGAATATAGAACAGGCTTCCTCAACCTCGGCCCTCCAGATGCTTTTGGCCTACAACTCCCATGGTCCCTAGCGAGCAGGACCAGTGGTCAGGGATGATGGGAATTGTAGTCTCAAAACATCTGGAGGGCCGAGGCTGAGGAAGCCTGGTATAGAATCAACCTCACTCTTTCTCTTCAAAACTTGTCTTTTCTGTGAAACCTGTGGCTTAGTCCTTTTAGTCCTTGCCTCCTACAGAAATCAAGTCTGGGTACATCGAAGTGGATTTGCACATATTTTCCTGCTACCCTTAGAATCATAGAATTTGAAGGGACCATGAGGGTCATCTAGCCCAACCCCCTGCAATGCAGGAATCTTTTGCCCAATGTGGGGCTCAAACCCACAGTCTCATGCTCTACGAACTGAGCTATTCTCACTGTCCTGCCTTCTCTTCCCATTTTCTTTTTATCTGTCCAGCCTATGGAGCAGGAAACCTGCTTATGCAATGTACATTAAATACCATGCATACTGGCATTGTGCTGAACACAACTTCATAGCAGTTCAAAATTTTTAATATGTGTCTCCTGTATCCAAATCAAACAGTCTTTCAAAACTGGCTAAAGGCATTTTGCTTCCCAAAGACGCCTTCCTCCCACATTCTACGTACAGAAACCAGTGGGACCAGCAGAATCTTACTCCAACATTGGCAATGGGACAGCATCCTCCACCACACCTGAAGGCAACAGGCTAGCTTAGGGGGAAAGGCAGGCCCTGTGGCACACACAACCCAGTCCTCCAGCACCTCTCCTCAGCATCTGCCCCTGAGAAGGGCCAGCCTAATGGTAAGGCCAGCCCTGCCTTCTAAATCACCTTATAGAAACCCAAGACCTACTTTGGAAAGCTGTATGTGGAATATAGTCGTATAAAAGGAGTGCTGTTGCATGAAAGAACTGAGAATGCAGTCGGAGTGAGGAAAAATAAAGGTGTGTCAAACTGTAGAGAGTTTTAATGCCTCAAATATTTGGAGGAGAAGGAGAAGAAGACGACGACAACGACAAAAACCCTATTCCTGTATATAATCAACCAGGCTAACTAATCTTGCTTGATAAACATAGATCTAAAGATCAGCTCTGACACACAGCTATGGCAACTGCTCCAGGATCTCTGCCAAAGCTGAATTCCTCTGTCCGATATCATAAAATGACTTGTCTGTTGTATTTACAATTCCAGTGGCTCTCGACTCAGTCTGATGAACACTGGGCATGCTGACAGTTAGCCAGGAGAACAGATTTGAGCCCAGCCATTATGCCAGAACATGTGCATTTCATTAGAAAAAAAGAAAGACAAATTATGCATATTTCTCCAGGATGGCAGTCTTCATCAGACGTTCCATTGTAAACTAATTGCAAAGCATGCTGCTATGCAAGTATCATTAAAATCCTTTGTAACCTATAATAAACAATTATAGTTCCAAAGGCGGTACTCTTCAACAACCCAGTAATAAATCATGCTGCTTCTTATGCTTCAGGCCCAGAACAGGAATAAGTTTGCACTTCTGGAACTCATGTCTTTTATGTGACTTCATGTATAGTAGTTCCTGACTTCCTTAACTGAGATAAATACAGCTGCAACAGTGAGACAGAGTCATTATGTATTGGAACCAGGCTAAGCTAGTCACACTTGTTGTTGTTTAGTCATTTAGTCATGTCCGACTCTTCGTGACCCCATGGACCAGAGAACGCCACGCACTCCTGTCTTCAACTGCCTCCCGCAGTTTGGTCAAACTCATGTTAGTAGCTTCGAGAACACTGTCCAACCATCTCGTCCTCTTTTGTCCCCTTCTCCTTGTGCCCTCCATCTTTCCCAACATCAGGGTCTTTTCCAGAGAGTCTTCTCTTCTCATGAGGTGGCCAAAGTACTGGAGCTTCAGCTTCAGGATCTGTCCTTCCAGTGAGCACTCAGGGCTGATTTCCTTAAGAATGGATACGTTTGATCTTCTTGCAGTCCATGGGACTCTCAAGAGTCTCCTCCAGCACCAGAATTCAAAAGCATCAATTCTTCGGCGATCAGCCTTCTTTATGGTCCAGCTATCACTTCCATACATCACTACTGGGAAAACCATAGCTTTAGATGCACTTTAGTCACACTTAGATACCATCAAACGTGAAAAGTTAGTCATGTGCAAGTGAAGTCCCACTGATTTCAATGGGACCCAAGTGCAACTAACAGCAGTCTAAACCCACAATGTGATGGGGCAGATTCTCCTCTGACCAAATTAAATCACCTCCATGGATTGATGCCAGCATCACTTCTCCACTGTGGACCTTCCTACTCTACCAGCTGAAAGTGCAGGCAGACAAAATTACCGCAGCATAGTATGCAGCAAGGTTTTGCCTCCCCTCCAATCTTCCAGCTTAGCTGTGCAAGCGGCAGAGGCTGTTCTGCTTTATCACGCCATGCTAGGCAGCCAGGTTTCTCAGATCCAGCCCTCTGCATATTCATTACTTTTCCTGTACCTTGACAGCAGAGGAACCATTTCAAGACAATATTAAGAGCAGTACTAGAAGTAGACTACCACAAAGAGGCTATGGGATCTTTCAGGACTTAATGCTGCATTAGTTGTTTCTCACATGCCAGAGTCATTTCAGGTACATGCCGATACAGATCTGAACAAGAATGTGTGCATCATGCTCACCTCAAGTCCATCTGCACTGCCAACAAAGCAGGCCTTTGTAACACAGATGTCGCTTGAGAATTCATTCAAATGTTCGGCAGGGCATTTGAAGCATCCAGTACCCCTTCAGATATGAATTGAAGGATTGCTTGTTTGAGACAATCACCTTTATTTATTTACTGGACAGTACTCATAGCCTGCTCTTCATTTAATATGTTTGATCCCCAAGCAACAAACGAAATGATAGAAATAAACAGATTAAAAATGTATACAAAAGTTGTAAAGCCACATGAAGAGGTCCAATGAACAACAACTTAACAATTCTGTCCTAAGGTAAAAATAACTAGATTAAAAATGAGCACAATACATACAAAGTGATTAAATCAATGGTCTTGGCAACAGTTTACACCCTGCTTTTCAGTCATGCCAGCCCCCCCCTTTTTTTTGTCTCTTACACAAGGGCATCACTCTGTGCCAACAAACTCACTCTGTTTTTGAGTAAAAATCTGTGGCTTTTTTGCACGAAGACAAACTGCTGCTCAATATTCTCTGGGGTGGAAACTTTCTACCTTTCTATATCCTCATTATCTCATTTTGGTGGAAGTGCTTTCCATTTAGAGAAAGCTTTGACCTCCGATTTTGAACAAAATATCTTTATGTCCACAGAAATATGCACTGATCATTTAGCTCTAGGACTTGCTATGCTTTGGATGTTTATAGTGAAAGGCAGTACAAAAAAAACTTGCAATAAACAAGTGCTTAAGTGCCTATTTCCAAGGTATGCATTCAATGGTGCCCCTCACACCAGTGAAGAAGGAGGTGACTTTTGCAGATTCCCTGCTCTCCTACAATCCCTAGCACCACCTCCCATGCTGTTCTGAAGCATCCCATGTTTTTGGAACAGGGGCAATGTTTAGGGGAATTAGAGAAAATCACCAGCCTCCTCCTACAGCTGAGGGAAGCCTCTGCTGGATCAAAGTACCTTCTGTCAATGGAGAAACATCACTGGAGACAACCTCTGGACCTACACACACATGTGCTGGGGTACTGCAACAGCTGCACAGTATAGTGTCAAAGACCGGTGCAGTACCACAGGCGCAGTGAGGTTTTTCCTGCTGTAATATGCCAAAAGAGCAATGCAAAGGTTTGTAAAATGGGTTAGTAAGCCTTGAGAATTAGAAAAGGCACAGATATAGCTCACCAAAGCTAAGCTCCCAATACTCAACAATGATAAGGAGTAAGCTACAGTCTTGAATAAGATTGTTTTCTTATCAGGTCAAGCCTTAGACACACTTGTGGACATGAACATAAACCACTATGAATCAACCAACAGGTTTTCCAAAGCAGCTCCACGTACATTGATGGTAATGATGGGATAATGGACACATGACACATAAAAGCGACATGTACTGATTCAGAGCACTGGCTCATCGAGCTCAATATTGTTTACTTTGCCCAGCAGCAGCTCTTTGGGATCTTCCCCAGCCCTGCAACCTGAAAACCTTTAACCAGAGACACAACCTGGGACCTTCTGCATGCAAAGCAGATGCTCCACCACTGAGCTATGGCAAGTATGTTTAGCTATGGCATCAACCAACAAACCATGGTTTGCAAACCTGCTTCAAACCATGACTTCAAACCATAGTTTGGTGCTTAGCATCGACACCAATACTACTGACACTCTGCTGACAACCAAAGACTTTTGCAGTAGCTGTGGATTTTCTATTGTTGTATTGTGTTTTTATGATATATATTTTCACCCTGCGGCCATTCGGCAAAGATCAGACTCTAAATGTCATAGATAAATAAAACAATACATAAACCATCATTTCTCCAATATGAATATCATGGCAAACTATGGTTAGAGTAACTGATATGAACTGACCCAGACCCTGCAATCATCATCTGAAGCCCTTCTTCATATAATTAAACCGGGCATAGGCAAACTCGGCCCTCCAGATGTTTTGAGACTACAGTTCCCATCATCCCTGATGACTGGTCCTGTTAGCTTGGGATGATGGGAGTTTTAGCCCCAAAATATCTGGAGGGCCGAGTTTGCCTATGCCTGAATTAAACCATCTATGACCCTTTAAACGTGTGTGTGGTTTTTTTTGTTACTATGTTATGTGTTTTTGTGTTTTTATATTGTAAACTGCCCAGTGTTCCCTGGATGAAGAGTGGCATAGAAATTAAATAAATAAATAGAGAGAGAGAGAGAATGAGAGCATGAGAAGAAAAGGGGTGAGACAGGGAGGAGTACCCAAGCCTTGTTTCGATTATTGTCCAGAGTTTTTGAAAGTTCAAAGTAACAATGACAAATTGCATGGTAGTGCCAGGGAAGGGGTGGGAAGGAAAACCTAACTGTGATATAGATAGCATGGAGCACACATTGGAAGGCAGGACCACTGTGTCACTGGTGAGAACAGGAGATTAAACATTCACGCATGTGCTAAATTCTACTTTAGATAGTCTGCTTGTGGAAATTACCACCTTGTGAGGTACTGTGCATTTTAGCTGCAGCCCTGAACTACAGTAGTGTTTACTTTTAGCAGCACAATGTTTCAAGCTGTCTGCCTCTCATATGTAATTGCTGACTGAAATGATGCCTGCATGTAAATATTTCTTTGGCCTGAATACTTGGGAGTAGCAGACATTTACCATAAGGATTAGTTGCTAGTCCTAGTTTTATATAAACACCTCAATTTGATTTGTCAAGATTTCAAGCAGCCAAGAGGACTTCCCTTCAACCGGACTGGGATTTCCTCTTCACTTCTACTTCTACTAAGACTTTGTGTGACATGCAAAACGCGGATGCATAATGCAACTGGGAAAGTTGACATCAACCTTACTGAAAACTAATGCATACGTCTGCATCTTCAGGTAGTGCTGGAGGAGACTCCTGCCTGAAATCTTGGAGAGCTGTTGTTAGTCAAATAATAGTGAGCTAGATGGGCCACTTCCTATATTCCGTGGGACATACCATATTTTTTGCCCTATAGGACACACTTTTTCCCCTCCAAAAATGAAGGGGAAATCTGTGTGCATCCTATGGGGCGAATGCAGGCTTGCGCTGAAGCTTGGAGAGCGAGAGGGGTCGGTGCGCACTGACCCTTCTCGCTCTCCAGGCTTCAGGAAGCTATCAGCAAGCCTGGGGAGCCTGCGGGAGTTCCCGCAGGGCTCCCTAGGCTGCGGATAGCAGCCTGCTGCCCAGAGCGTGGGGCGCGCTGAAGCAGCGCGCCCCGCGCTTCGGGCAGACATCCGCAGCCTCCTGCACAGAGCGCGGGGCACACTGAAGCAGAGCGCCCCACGCTTCGGGCAGACATCCGCAGCCTGTTGCACGGAGCGCGGGGAGCGCTGAAGCACAGCGCCCCGCGCTTCAGGCAGACATCGGGCAGCCCCACAAGCTCGGGGGACAGCGGGGAGGCGCAGCGCCGCCATCCCGCTGTTCCCTGACCTGGTTTGGATTCCCCGACCTGGTTTTGGAGGGGAAATAAAGGGAATTTTTTTTTACTTTATTTCCCCCCCCCCCAAAAAAAACTAGGTGCGTCCTGTGGGCCAGTGCGTCCTATGGGACGAATTTTTTTTCCCCTTTATTTTCCCCCCAAAAAACTAGGTGCGTCCTATGGGCCGAAAAATACGGTACTTCAGAGTAGGCACGACTAGGCTTGCACTGCTCCCTATACAGAAGAGTCAGTCCAGACTTTATAAACCAAGTTGACGTGAGGAAACTTCGGAAAGGCAACGAAGACTATATTAGCATTATTCTGTCCCTCCTGCTGCAGCAGCTTTTTATGCTGGAGATCCCGGCAGATTCCTTCTGCAGGAAAAGGAGGTGCTGAGCTGGGGAGTGGCACTCCAGGTAGTGTGGTAGAATTCAAACACCATAGTTGAATATTGTATGTATACATACACACACACACACACGCACGCACTGGGGTCTGTGACCCTGGAGGGGTTTCATCAACCCCTAGGTACAGCTATAACCCTTCCTCATTTGAGTTCAATGGGACTTACACCAAGTATGTTATCAGCTTACAGCCTAAAGCAACAATCTTAAACTGAGAGCCTGTGTGTTATATTGGTTAGAGTGTCAGGCTAAGACCCGGGAGTCCAGGGTTCAAATTCCCACTTGGCCATGAAGCTCACTGGGTGACCTTGGGCCAGTCACTGCCTCTCAGCCTAACCCACCTCACATGGATCTGGCAAGGATTAGAGGAGGAGGGATTGGACCATGTGTGTCAACATCAGCTCCTTGGGAGAAGGTGGTGGAATATAAATACAATTAAGTAAATAAACTAACACTACCATCCTATGCAAATCTTCTCAGAAGGGGTCCAACTGAGTTCAATGGGACTTGGCTAAGTGTGTGAATCATTGTGGCCAGAGATTATTTTCAAGACTGAGGCTTAAATCAGCTTCTAACATGAATACAGTATGTAACTTCCTATGGCTGCAATGTGTGTTATGATTTCTCTTCCATGTTCATTCCCCCATGAAGTTCCATCTCCTGTGCTCCACGGTTCTAAGCATCTTTGCTTACAAGTCCTATTTAATTCAGCCGGGATTTATTCCCTAGTAAGCGTGCTTACAATCACCACCTTAAGACAGCTTTACGTAGATAGCTAAAACTGTACACAGATTGTGGCTACACTTACCAGCAGTCAGCGTGATGGTTGATCACTTTTAACTCAGTTTAACTTCTACTTCTGTGATAAACATAAGCAAATCTAAGAATTCTATATGCTAATAGCAAACTCATTAGACTGTAGCCAAAATGCATCAAAATATAAGACGTTCAGCAGAGTCCCAAGGTTTGCTGAAACACAAAAATGTAAAATATCCCCCCCAAAAAAGTAAGAGGAGGGAAAACCTCCAACTAGCTCACTGAGCATGCTCGGTAGCCATGGTACACCGGCTGACTGGGAAGACAAAACCAGGGGGAATGGAGTGTCTTGCAAAAGGCCATTGTTGTCTGGAACTCTGAATACACCCAGTCCACACTGCAATATTTTGTTGCAAGTCCTATTTGTGAATCATGGGGTTGTAGTCAACTTTGACTCAGAGCAGACCCATTGATGTTAAAAGCAATGGATCACTGGGTCTACTCTAATTCAAAGTTAGTTGCACACAACCCAAAGACTTTAATCCCATACCCACTTACCTGGGAGTATGCCTCATTTGAATCAATGAGACTTACTTCTGACAAGCATTGGATTGCACCGTAAATAATTAAGCCTATAGCAGAGTTACAGATATACTTCTGTAGGTTTAGTCACTACCTAAAGTTGAGTTCTGGTAAAACTATTCATTCATTAGCATGAAGGATGCTGGAATAATAAGCAACACAGAAGAGAGGAAGAAAGTCCCGAATAACTTTTCAAAAACTAGCTAATGTGCTGGCTTTTGTTAAAACTGCTTTTGTTCAACTGAACATATGCATGACATTATTTTACTTCTTTACCTCTTGAGTGGTAGGGAAGGAAGGAAAAGCAATGAAATAATTTATCTGGTGATTTCAATGAAGTCTGAAACTAAGGAAGAAGGAAACCAATCTAACTACTGTTACAGAAGTCCTCTCAAGGCCATTAATCAGGATTTTTGTTGTCACTTCCAGATATGTTTCGCATTCCACAGCTGCAATCCTATCTCCACTAACCAGGGAGTAAGTTGAAATTCCACTGAGCTCAAAAGGATTTACTTCTGACATGCAAAGGCTTAAGTTGTAGGAAACTGATTGCTAACAGAAGGTTGAAGCTGTGCAATCAGTTTGATCAATGCAAACCAAAAGGAGTTTATGCATGGGCCCACACTTCGGTCACTTTTCAGAATAAATTAATTTATTAATTGCTGTGGATTTTGTTTATTTACTCAGCTGTGCAGAGTCCTCTGCTGGTACATATGTGCATAAATTAGGGATTAACTTTATTACCTTTCTAAAGACAAGCTAAGCTGCCCAGGAGCCTGACAAGCACTCAGCATATGACCACCACAAGAACCCAACCTGGAGCTTAGTGGAAAGTGACAGGAAAGCAAGGATAATCTAATTAGGCAATGGACTTATACAAACTTTTGGCACCATTCAAAATCATTTTGAATTGCCAATGTAGTTCTAGGAAACTTCTACAGGTGTATATTCAATGCTATATTGGAATTCTTCTTAGTAATATTTTTAAAAAACAAATTCCTCACAAATGCAACATCCTGCATTTCCACTTCTAGGAGGAGACAAGAGGGCCAGTTACAGTTATAATCTCACTTAAACCAAATTGGCTGCCCCAGTGTGAATTATAGTCATTTACATGCTGCACTGAAAAAGTGAAAAATTCTTAAACCAGTAAGTAAATCCAGTTGATTCCAAAGGAGCATATTCACAATAAACTTTTTTAGGATCTTAACTTGGCGTGGAGGATCATAAAAACTATCCCAGGTATCGCTTACCTGCGTTTTGCAGTTTATGATGGAAATATTAAGCCCAGCATCAGTATGAAAGCAAATAAGGATATTAACCCCCTTACAACCCAAACATTCAAACATGGCTCCCTAATTAAAAGTCCCCATTACATTAGAAGTGTTAGTAGCTATTTCCCCCCATTTGAATTTCTTACCTTGGACCTCTCTTTCACATAGTATTTGCCAAGTCTACTTCCACAGTACATAACCAGTCTGTCTATCAGTGACAAGAGAAAGTTGATGGCCTCGCATCCCTCCTCAGTGCCTGCGATCCACTTTATCTGGTCTCCCCTCAAGTGTCTCTTGGAGATGCCGTTGCGCTTGCCGGCTAGCTGACCATCCTGCAGCTCCCCGTTATAATGCATCTGCTTCACACGTTCCAGGACACAGTCTCCTACCAAGTCGCCCAAAAAATTGTCCAGGTAGCAAAAACCAATGTCATGCAAGCAAGGCACTATGTAGTCCAAGGCAATTCTCTCTAGGTCTAATCTCATGATATGTCCCAGTGGCATTTTAATGAACCCCACTGATTTCGCCCCTTGTAGCAGAAAGTCAAGAGCCGCAAGCCAAGCGGCGGAGCGCGCGCCAGGAGACCTGGTTTCTATCAGCGATTCTAACACACTGAATCCGCCACACGCGCCAGCAGCGATGCCTAACTCTTGGGAGAAGCGAGCAGAGCAAATCAGGGTCCGGCTAGTCAGAGAAACCGGCGTGCCCAAAAGTTTGGCTAAAGTCGTACTTTTGTCTTCAGCGCAGTCAGCAGCCACCTTCTCGGGTTCTCCCAACCCCTGGGCGACACAAGGCTTGCTAATGAAGTGAACGGTGGCTGCACGCCTTCCGTGGACTGACCTCCACCCAATACCGCGGGGGGATCAGCACCTTGGCAGAGAGGCAGCTGCTGGAAAAGGAAGCTGAAGCAGCTCTTTTCTACCAGCTTTAAGGCCGGGAGACCAGTGTGTGAACCCCCCGCAATTGCTGATGTGATCACTCCCCCTAATTTTTTTTTAAAAAATTTTTTGGTGCCGAGTCCTGCAAACTCCTTTCAATTTCACCGAGGCAGCAGATGGCCCCTCTCTGATTAATACGTCTGCTACGTGCAGAATGTGTTCCTACTTCTGCGGCGAGCGCCACGTGGGTGGAGCCCCGTCCCGGGGACAATCTCTCCCCGCGCCTACCCGCAGCCCTGTGGAACGTGAGGGCAGCCAATCAGGAGGGAGGCGGGGCGGGGCTTCGCCGGAAGCGTCCAACCCGCGTAGGGTTCACGGCTGGAATCAAGGCGTGGGGGAAAGGGCGGAGAGGAAAAGCCGCGTGTCTGGAGGAGGCGCGGCTTATGGTTTGTCGTGCACCGCCTACAACTCGGAGTGGGTGTGGTCTCCGCCATTGAGGAATTCTCCCCCAGCATGTACGCTTCTACTACGGTCACATACTACAAGCCAATGTAAACAAACGGAGGGGGGGTATAAGGGCGTTAAGTGCCAGTTGAGTTTCTCTTGGCAACTTAATGCTATAGGGATGGGGAGCGAGGTTACAAGTGCTTATCTCCCTCTTTTCTTTCTCTCCCTCTCCCACTACAAGACATCCTCCTCCCTTTTCACACCTGATCATGTGCTGACAAAACATTGCAGAGCTGGAATTCGCTTTGCAAACAAGATCATGCGTACGGAATACCAGTTCCCGGCTTTCAAAAGCCTCTCGTTACAGATGATGTGTTTAAAAAGCACTCACTGACTTGTCACCACCTGGATTCTAAACCTCATTCCTCTTCTAAAAGCTAGGAAAATATGCCCACTTTCATAGCCTGCCAAGATAACTATCGTTTCAGAAATTACCAATACTGTATAAACGTTAGAGAGAGCCGTTAAAGTAAGATGTTCGGGGTTATATATATGTATATGCACGCACGAGTGTTTCAGAAAATTTGTTCTCTTTGAAACTGTAGCTCACAAATCCTGGTTAATAACTCTAGGGAACTTTTGATGAAGGCGGGGAAAACAAAAAAAGGAAACCGTGTCTTTAAGCGTAGTGAGGTTACCCCCCGCCATACAAAATCACCCGCTACTACCTCTCCAATTCGTGGATATAGGAAATCCCACGTGGGCTGCCAGGCTGTGAACGCTACACGGTTTAAAGTTGTTTCACAATGCGATAGAACTAGGGTTAGGATCTGAGCGGATGGACCAAATGCCAAGCCCGAGTTGCAGCTGGTAGCAGAGCGGCCAGGAATTGCGTGGTTAAGACTCGGAAGAGTACATGAAATGGCAAGAGAGGGAGATCAGAAACTCCGGAGGAGCCCGGAGTGAACTTCAGTCGGGGCTTGCAAGCTACTAACCTTGTGTCTTCCTCTAATTTTGTAGCGCCCCAGCTTGCCATCTGCGTACATGATGAGCTTATCCATTCTTTTCAGGAGGTAACCTATATTTTCACAGCCCGGCTCACTGCCCTCAACCCACAAAATCTTGTCCCCGCGAATGGCGCGGCCGCCGCCCGCCTTCTGGCTCGCCAGGGCGCCGTCCTGGAATTTGTCACTCAGGTGCAAAGCCAGGACCTCTTGGAAGATTTTCTCGGCCATCCTGTGCCCCAGGAAGTGGTCGACTATGCACAAGCCATAGGCGTTCATGCAAGGCACCACGTAGCGCAAGACTAGCCTCTGCGCATCTCTGCGGGGCTCCCGGAGAGGAGCTTTGCTGCCAGGCGGAGAGCCGGCGGAGGGCGAAGCGCCCTCGACGCCCGGGGCCTCCGCCGGGCTCGCAGCGGGGCACAAGAGGCCTCCGAGGGGGCCTGCGGCCGGCCCGGCAGGCTGCTCCTCTCCGCCCCCCTCCTGGCGGCTCCCGGGCGGGTGGTGGATGAAAATCCTCCTCATGCTTTCTACTGAGTCTCCGCGGAGCTGGGCGGCCGCCGGGGGCTGCTGCTGGGCCGCTTCCCCGCCGGAGGAGGCCATGGTTTGCGCGCAAGACCAGGTCCCGCTCCCGGCCGGCGGGGCGGCGTCGCCTCACCACGGCGGCGGCATGCCGCTTCTGGCCGGGCCCGAGCTCCACGCGGGAAATGCCATGCTCGCGCCACACGCCGCCGGATACGAGGAGCGAGGACATGCCGCTCGGGAGCGTGCACACGTACCGCGGGGAGCGAGCGGCGCCTCCGCCCCCGCCCAGCGCCTCCCTCCTTCCCGCCCTCCTGGCTTCCTCTCTCTCTCTCTCTCTCGCCGCCGCCGCCGCCGCCGCCTCATCCAGCCGTCCCTCGAGGACACGCGCTGGGAACACGCGGGATCCAACGCAGCGCACGAAAAAGCTCCCGGGCAGTGCCGGACGTGCAGGGAGAGACTGGGATCTGGGATTGTTACGTGCCCTCTCTCCGGCTTGGAACGAGGGGCGGGAGCCACAAAGGAAGCTCGCAAGCGCTGGCCGCGGCTGCTGGCTCCATTCATTCACCTAGGCTTGGTGCTGACTTTTTCCGCTTTTCCAGTCCTGGCCTGTCCCGTTCTGGAAATCAAGATAATGGGGTCACCGCTGCTGCTGCAACGAATCGTTCCCCATGTGTTTTTAGGACAAAAAGTGCACTTTAAACGCAGGACTTAAGAAGGACGAAGTGTTTGGTGGTTGTTAGGTTCTTCTCTGTGACTCTGCAGGTGCAAATAGGTGGCTGGCTCACTGGTTCTCAAAAGAAAGGTGCGCGACTGTTGTCAGGCTAAGGCATACTCGCCAACATTTCCCCGATTAAAATAGGGGCGTCCTAAGGAAATGCAGGGCATTCCAGGATCAAACCAGGACACCTTCTGTAAATCCGGGACTGTCCCTGGAAAATAGGGACACTTGGAGGGTCTGAGCTCACCTTGATCGTGTCCCTAGACTAGTAGATGGAACTGCTTTCTGCACATGCACAGGTACTCTCTTCCTTATAGCATCAGCTGTACTCCTGATTAGATTCCTGGACTTTTCTTTGTTTTCCAGCAGGAGTGCCAACTTGAATAAATATTGAGGGGGCTCAGGTAAGCCCCGCTCTTCACAATCAATCGCAGGATGCAGCACACACACCATTTGAATGGCAATGCCCATCAACTGGGGGGAGGGGGCAGCCGCCTCAAATATTTTATGAGAGAGGAGGGCAAAGGGACCTCAGCCCCTAGGAGTTCGCTGCTATGCTTTCAAGCTTAGACCAGCAGCAACAATTGCTCTTGACAGCAATTCTGTTTCACTGGAAACAAATCTGACACCTCCCAGTACAAGAGCAAACAAATAAACAAGCAAACGCCATAGTGTTAGGATACAAGCACAGGCAGACTTGGGTCTTTCAAATTTCAGCAGCACCTTGTGTGAGGCCAAAATTCAGTGCACCTTCCTTTCTGCACGTGCACTACATCATAGTTGCAATGCACTGCAGCACACGCCTCAGTTCAGAGCCGGGGGGGGGGCAGGGAGCCACTCTCCCTGCCCTAAATCTGCCTCTGATACAAGCCTTGAATTCAACTTGTGTCTAGTACAATGCGGTTAATCCCATTCTATGGAATGCCAGTCACTGTACAAGTCCAAAGCGAAACGAACAAAATAAAAAGACTGCCAAGAACTCGCCAGTTTTTACCAACCTTTAATAATAAAAAAAGCAGCATATATTACTGCTTTCCTTTGGAGCAAACTAGTAGCTAGTATGGAACAAATTTCACACCAGTGTTTGTACAGTGGTACCTCTGGTTACGAACACTTCTGGCTACAAACGCTTCAGGTTACGAGCTCTGCTAACCTGGAAGTAGCTGCTCCTGGTTGCGAACTTTGCCCCAGGAGGCGAAGGGAAATCGCACTCCAGAGGCCCCATTAGCAAAAGCACGCCTCAGGATAAGAACCGTTTCAGCTTAAGAACAGACCTCCGAAACGAATTAAGTTCGTAACCAAAGGTACCACTGTAGTTGTTAACTGCAGAGCATGGTACATTGGAGGATCATTGTAGTGTGGTCCACAGCAAAGTATATTTTATTTTATTTCATTACATTTATATCTCTCCTTTTTTACCACCCTGAAACACAAGGTGGTACACATGTGGTTCCAAGGGGGGCCCGGGTCCCATTCAGGCCAGACCCAGACCTGCTTAGTTTTAGTAAGGTGGTGGCCTCGGGGCATACCTAGGACCTGCCTCTAACTTCACAGTTTCCGCTGTGGTGCAGCAGTAGAATTTGCTTTCTCCACAGTTCTTAGTGTATGATCTTGCTCATATGACTTAAGCATTTGGAGGGATGATTTCCTTTGACACTGTTACTCCTCTCAAGTACATTCTGTATCTTCTATGGCCTGCTCACATTTCAGGGCTCTGTTATCCCGAGTGTTGCGTGCAGCAGACCTATCTCCTAACACCTGAGTGTACAAGTGCTCTTATTTACAGTGATATGTTCCAGGCTTGAAAAGTAACAACACATTAAATGGGGGAAATCTGCAACGAATAAATCACGTCTTGTATGTAAATAGTGTCAATTTGAAATCTGAGCAAGTGAAATTCAATAAGTGTATTCCCTTGTCTTGGAAGGGTTTTGCCTGTCCTCCTTGATTTATAGTGGCAACTTAAAGAACAGCTTCCAGCGCCGGTGCTTAAATTTGAAAAGAGAGAAACAGAGACTTGCTATAAATCACATTTGATTGTGTTAAGATCTAGGTTTATTTTTAAATATGCTTTTCTTCAGCATCCCCCACCTCCTTCCGTATTGTGCTCTAGTGTTTCAGAAACTGAACACTAAATCCTACTGATAGATATACCGCATGCCATGCAGCCACTCTGCTGTGAGATACATACATATTTCACCAATAAAAGCCTCTATTTATAAGTGTCACGGATGGTGTGATGGGAGTGGAAGACCACTTCAGGTGCTAAAGCCAGATTGTTGTAATTTTGAGGTATCATTGTTAAAAGATAGGTGCCTTTTCAAACTTTGGAACTCTTAAAAATGAGACCAAGAACTGATAGAGTAGAACCGTACCTGCAACGTATTATCTCGGTGGAAATTCAGAGTTCTGCATTGCATTCGGGGGAGCTACATGAGTACTGCAGGTTCTCTGCTGCAGACTGTTTCCTTCCAATCCACGGGCAGTATTGGCAAAGCTAGTACCCCCTTTGCATGTTTATTTAACTCCAAAGACCCAAGCCTAAATAGGACTATTTGAGTCTTTGCATGTACGTTCATGCATCCCGTCTGTTTTATATTAATTGCCTGCTGATTTTTGAACAGTGCCTTTACAAACCCATCTTAAAAGCAAGCCTAAATGATGACTACTTTTCATCATGTCTTAATTTACTTTGAATTACGGACATTCTCCAGCTTTCTCATAACGAGATCCCCCACGGTCTCAGCCTCCTATAGCAGCTTTCACTTCAGCTTCAAGAGTGTGAACAGCAGCATGCACATGACAGCTCAAGCTGCATCCTGACTGAGACTGGCAAATAGGACACAGCTGCCTTCGCTTTCAAACTTTTTTTATTTTTTACTATCTGGGTATGGCTGAATCTGCTCCTAGGGCACTCAGTTGAACGACACAAGCATATATTCTGAAATGTGGCGGACGTGGTTTCAACACAAGCTCGCCACATTCCGAGGCATTTGTTTTCAGGACAGAGAACGTGTGTCGAAACCACTTCCTCCCCACGTAGGACATCTCTCTGCCTTTGCCCTCAGAATGCCTGCTACAGGGAGGCTGCTGCTGATTCCACACAAATGACACCCCCCTCAGTCTTGTGCAAGCGCCCTTCCTGCAAAAACGCTTGTAAAGGACGAGCGATAGCGTCTGATCAGCTTCCTAGACATCCCTGCCACTCCCTTGATCAGATTACCAGCACCAGCAGCGCCCCTCAGCCATGATGACTTCTGAGAGTAGCTTCTTTTGGAGCTGAAGATAAAGAGCATACATACCCACAACAGTTTGCCACCCCTCCTTGAATTCACTGTGCATAAATGCCCTCTAGGGAGCCTCTCACCAGGCCATCAGCCTGCTCCATCCATACCCTTTAGCCATTGCACTCATGGTTTGGGTGGGTTACTGATGAAAATGCTCCCCACACTTCCAACTGAGTCCCTGTTGAGATTTGTTGGCAGATCTGATCCGCCTCCTAAGCAAGAGGCATTGCCCTACTTAGTGATGGCATGTTGTGTCTGGTCCCGTGTGTGCTTGTTTGTTGGGAAAGGTCAGGAAAAGGCCAGGCAATCAATCACCGATCTCCCAGCATAATGAGCAACTCTGTTAATTTGGAAAACATGGGTCAGGCTGTAATAATGCAGGTGTGTTACCCACAAAATAACAGACTAGTAAGAAGAGTCTGGTCTGCCCTGCCTGCCTGCACAGAGGCCTTCATCATGCAACCCTGCAATGAGCTAGGCTACATGAGTTCTGAGGTCCTTCTGTCTATGATCTCCTTATGAGAACCAGGGGTAGACAAGGGCAAGCAAGCAAGTAAAGGAGAATAGCCTACTAAAGTCCAGAAATAAAGCTTGGGAAGGAGAGGGTGAGCTGCTGGATTGATAACTGTGCGTTTCAAGCACTCAGTGTCAAAGTAATGCTATGACTTTGCTCTACTTTTTATATTGCATGCTAGTGACTTGCTTTAGGGCCACACTCTTTTTCATTCCGTAGTGGTTCTGTGCACGTTGAGATCTGTTTGGCCTCGTAATCACAGCATGCACAATTGATCTGTTACCATGTCTAATCACAGTAATTAAAGACACAGTGCAGCCACCCAAATACGTGCTCCTCTGCACACACAGAGTTCTGAAAAGGAAAAAAAGGAAAAAAAGGTTGTGTCATAAATACTTCCTTCAGTGTACTAAAAGAAAGAAAGAAGTACTGTGCTTTCTTCAACCCTTTAGAGAATGGAGTCTGAACTGAAAGGAAAGAGGTCATTATGGCAACAGGAGTTTCTTTTCTTTTTGGCTGGTTGCAGATCCTCTAAAACCACAGAGTGAAACTGATATGGGTTGTTATCACAACACTATCACAGTGGTTGGATGGATTATGTTACTGCCTTTTGTAAGAGCCTGGTAGTATAAACAGCCTGTGGGTGGGCTGAAGAGGCACTGGGGAAAGCAATGGCTTACTTACTTATTACATGTCATTCTTTCAATAAGTTCAGACTGGTCTATGTAGTTCTTCCCCACCCTATTTTATCTCAACAACTGCCCTGTGAAGTAGGATAAGATAGTGACTAGCCCAAGATCAGCCAGTGAGCATGATGGCTGAGTGGGGATTTGATATCTATTGGAACTCAAACTTTGCCAAGAATGTGGGTCCAACAAATTCCTCAATTGCCTCACTGACAATCTCGGAGCCACTGCTTCAGGCAGCAAATGAAAGTGGTAGAGGTAGAATGCTGACATGATAGAAAGGACTAGGGCTTTTCTTCAACCGGAACTCACCGGAACTCAGTTCTGACACCTCTCAGATGGGCGCCATTGCCATTATAAGACAACAAGGGAGGCGTTCAGGGTGAGTTCCAGCACTTCTTTTGTCAAAAAATAGCACTGCAAAGGACTGTACCACATCATATTGCAATGCAGGAATACCACTTTTGAATGCCCCTAATGTTAAAAAATGAATGCATCTTCTATACAAATAGACAACTATATAGGTAAAGGTAAAGGTACCCCTGGCCGTTAGGTCCAGTCGCGGACGACTCTGAGGTTGTGCGCTCATCTCACTGTATAGGCTGAGGGAGCTGGCGTTTGTCCGCAGACAGCTTCCGGGTCATATGGCCAGCATGACTAAGCCACTTCTGGCGAACCAGAGCAGCACACGGAAACACCATTGACCTTCCCGCCAGAGCAGTACCTATTTATCTACTTGCCTCTATTCTGGTCCTTTGCCTGCTAATTTTTTATTTGCTAGGGATTTATTTTACTTGCATGGAGTTTTTACACTGTGATTTCCTCTCCTCGCCCTCTCCCCACTCACCCTCAGTGAGGGAAGCAGTCCCTTCTAGCACCACAGCGTGGAATCACCTCATTCTGGTGTGTGTAGACCAGGCCTCAGACAACTCTTCTTAGCATCAGGCCATTAGTTGTTTGTTTGTTTTAATCGTGTGTTGAAAATGGATGCCAATTTATGGATGCTAAGTATGAGTAGCTGCCCTTAATAATCTTGTGCGGTGTAAATGGAGCTCACTGTGCATGAATGACAGAAGTGCTGGTTTAAAAATTAAGCTGCATCAATTCTGCTTAATGAAAAGCCCTGATGCCCTCAGACATTTGTTAGTACTCTGTGGCATGTCCACAATCCTTGGCTTGAAAGCGAGGCGTCATTTCTGCACTTCAGAAAATTCTTCTGCTGGCCACCCCACTGTTCATAAATGTGATCTTCGGATAGCCACATGGGCTCGTTCCTCTTCTTTTAATCTTTTCTTGTCTTGAGAGCTTTAACAAATTGCCACATTAGCAACAGAAATCAACTGGTTATTAGGAAATTACCATAAGTAAAAAGTTAGCAGCAAGCACTCATGGTAGCTATCATGCTTAGACAGCTTTCAACTCACGCTGGGCAAATATTACACTTTCATAAAGCAAGAAACCTCAAAGTTCTTATCCTAATGTTTAAACAGTTTGGAAACAGCATAAGAGTCTCTGACTTGGTTCACAGGCTGCTGACTTTCCAAATGATGTCACCTTTCAGCATGTAGGCTGCAGTATCTGCAAATATCTATTTATCTATATACATGCACACCCATCAATGCTACTCACAATCTGGCTTCTCTCAAATAAATTCCATGGTTCATGTGAGCCACTCTCAAAAGCAGTTCCAACAGAAAAATCCACTCCTAGTAATGTGGATTATTGAAATTACCATACATACTTAATTCCTCATTTAATTTGTCACCGTCAACATGATTTTTTGGTAAGTGATGAAATTCTTTCTTTATTGCATTCTTCAAGAACATAAAGGAAACTTGGAAGTGGAATCTTCTACAGATGAAGAATTGGGACAACTTTAGGATCAATGGAGAAGTTTGAAAATGAGCCTTTGAAGGGGCAGTAGGTTCTAGAACAATGGCATTAAGTAATTAGCAGTAATATCAAGAAGAAACATATTATAGGAAAATGAAAGTTTATGCTAATTTACTTGATTATGCCTTTATTCAAGTAAGCACTAACTTAATTTTCTTTTTTTATAAAGGGATATTTTATAATACTAGCAGCCTCATACCCAACATTGCTTGGGAATTCTAAGAAATAATTTAAGAAGTGCAGTTTTGAAAAGTTCAAATATTATTGATTCATATTGGCATCTGACTGTATCCACACTTAAGATGAAAACCCACTCTTTGATCTCAAGAACTATCATGCAAAATTTGGTTGAGATCAAGTCTGTTTTGAAAGGTTCCGTCTCTCTTCTTGATTCAAAATGGTGTCCAGTTGTATTCAAACATAGCTGAAAACCTGCAACTTGATCTCGAGAAACATCATGCAAAATTTAGCTACAATAAACCCCAAATGAGCAAACAACTTACCAAAATATACAGTAGATTTGATATCATTATCTTTTAATTAGGTGGCAATTCTACGGCAAGATTCGCTAAAATGAGCAGCTTAAGATGCAAGAGATCTCCGGCTCAGCCAGCGTTAAGTCCCCAACTCAGCCAAAGACACACCAGCATAACATGCTCATACCAGCTTAGCTGGCTGAGCCAATGCTGGTGTAAATCCCCCAAAAGGCACATTCTGGGGCCAAGGGAGGCATGGCCACAGAGGGGGGAATTAGGCTAGGTAACCCTGTTCAGCTTGCCATGTGGCCAGGCATCCTAGCATAAAACACTGTTTTAAATGTTTGTTTTCCCTCTGTCAGGCTCAGGCAGAGCAGCGGCAGGTCTGGTGCTAAATGGGGTTTGAATCTGGTATTCCTTTCTTCTGGCTTAATTTAAACCATCTTGCTTTATGCCAACTTCTTGTGCATAGGATCGATCCCTTAGTGATGTTAGAATTATTATATACAGTGGTACCTCAGTTTAAGAACAATTTGGTTTACAAACTCCGCAAAACCGGAAATAGTGTCTTGGTTTGAGAACTTTACCTCAGTCTAAGAACGGAATCTGAAGGGTGGAAGGGCACCGGGTGGCAGGAGGCCCCATTAGGGGAAGCACGCCTCGGTTTAAGAACGGTTTTGGTTTAAGAACGGGCTTCCGGAACGGATTAAGTTAGTAAACTAAGGTACCACTGTATTTATTTATACCTCACCTTTTCTCCTGGCAGGACCCAAGGCAACTCACAGTTTTTTTTAAAAAAAATAAAATAGAAAAAGCAGTCATTAAAAAACAATTAAACACTGATAGAATTAAAACTGTATACATATATAAAACTTGTTTTTTAAAATACAAATGATTACAATAAAAACAGCATGTCACCAGCCCTTTAATTAAAAGCAGTCAGTTCTCAAAAGCCTGTTGGAACAAGAAAGGCTTCACCTGGTGGTGGAAGGACAACAAGGAGGGAGTCATTTGAGCTTCTCCAGGGAGGGAATTTCAGAGTCTGGGAGCAGCCACCGAGAAGGCCCTTTATTGTGTCCCCAGCAAGTGTGCCAGGGAAGGTGGCAGGACCAAGAGAGGGGCCTCCCTTGGGATATTACTGAGTTAGAAATAAGCCTGATTCAAATGACAACTAATTTAGCTCAAATAATTTTTAAAATATGCAGCTCATAGCTGCTGTTTTACAATATGCAAGTTATCAAGAGAGAAAAGCTGACCTTGATAACTTCTTGTTGACAAGTTACAATAAGGACAGGTTTCTATATCTTTATACCCTGTCTTCTAAAAAAATGAAGAAAGTTTCCTCAATGAAGTCCCTCAAATAGGCTCCGGAGTAAACTCAGCAATCACGGGATAAGATTATAGGTCCTCCTATGGATCAATAACTTGTTAAAGGGCAGAAAGCAGGAATTAGGAATAAATGGACAACTCTCACAGTGGAGCGATCTAATAAGTGAGCTCCCCACCCCATGCTTTTACATTTATTCATAAATAAATGTAATATATTCATAAATATTCATAAATAAAGTTAGAGAAACCAGTGTGCTGGTCAGGTTTGCAGCTGATGCTCCAAAAAGGCAACTTCTGCTCCAAATATGATCACATAATTCCTAAAGCAGGCATCTAAGCACATTGGGGGAGTGTGTACCTTTCCGGTGTGTGTGTGTCTGTGCATGTGTGAAAAATAGCAATTGTGGCTTTCCTAGAGCTGAAACACCCAAGGAGTGCCTTTCTCATTGAGGGAATGCAGCTGCTCTCTTGGAAAGCGTGCTGCAGGATTAATGACTACGCTGTTTGCTCACAGGAGAATATTTTTCTGCACTATGCTCTGCTTATGTATTTGCAAATAAATATTACAGTCACCCCACATCTTCAGTGCTTCCTCATCTAAAAGGAAACAAAGCTCTGTAATGATGTACTTGGAACTTTTCAGTGCTCAGAAGCGGGTGCATATGTCACAAGACTTAGTCTAAATTAGATGGACTTTGCACTTTTTAAAGTATCAGGCCCTCCAAGTGTCCCTATTTTCTAGGGGCAGTCCTGGATTTACAGAAGCTGTCCCAGTTTCTGATCTGATCCCGGAATGTCCCATTTTTCCTTAAGACGTCCCTATTTTAATCAAATAAATATTGGAGGGTATGGTAGAACCTCCCGATTTTCATCAGAGAAATATTGGAGGGTGTGGAGTTATGTGACCCCACCAGCCAAGGAAATATAACTATACAACCTTTAGAAGACATCTGAAGGCAGCTCTCTATAGGGAAGTTATTTAATGTTTAATGTTTTGTTATGTTTTTATATATGCTGGAAGCTGCCCAGAATGGATAGGACAACCCAGTCAGATTGGCGGGGTATAAATAATAAAATTGTTGTTGTTGTTAAATAGGATGTCCCTATTTTCATCAGAGAAATATTGTCGGGTATGAAGTATTCATTAAACTATATTTTATTTAATTTGAAATACTTCCTCAGCTTCTCAAACAACAGCTTAGAAAGCTGGATAAAAGCAAACAGGCCTCAATCTCTCTAAAGTCATTTGCAATCCTAGTTTGGCAGGTGAGCATGAAAGGTAGATTGGGGGCTTGGTAACAGCTCACTGCGATTTGATTGAAATAAGGAAGTAGATAACTGAAGTAGCATCCATGAGGAGAGGAGACTGAAGGAGGACATGAGCACAGGGCATATCCCTATCCATAGTTTTGTATGTCTCAGCCAGGCCTCTATGTCTGGGCAGCCAGACCAGGATGTAGAAGTTGTTTGGCTTTAGTTAAAATTCCCCTTTCCTTAAACTGAACTGCTCCCATTCGTCAAGAAGTTCAGACCTTAATCACTTGCATTAAAATGTGGAACATATTTCTCCTGCGATCATTCTTGACGACTATAACCTGACCTGTTTGACTTGTTCTCAGCGAACATTTGAGAACAATAGTCCTTCCAATACGCTCCTGATTACAGGTTCTGCCCTAGAATGCGTTTGGCATGGTTTATTTTAACATTCACCTCTGCCGTTCCCAGTTTCCTTGATGCGAGGTGGAGAACTGGGAAAACCGAGAGGAGTTTGCATCTATTCCGCAGCTGTCCTAACTTGTACGGAAGATCAAAGCGTCTTCTATTGTACTTTCAGAACAGTCTGAGAATGCAAATACGTATTTGCCCTAGGGGCCTGCAGTGAGGGCAGCTTGCCACATTGCTTGTGGAAGACTGCATTCTCTTAAAATGTATGAAGAAACGCACAGTAATTCGCATTCCGTGTCAGGCTGGAGGGACTCCATTTCTCCCATGTACTGGAACCTGTGGGCTTCATGCTATTTATCTGTGTAAGGGGAATTCCAAATAAATAAATAAAGCAGCTCATTGCCCTCTGAAGATATGGGAGAGGGACATTGGCTGCTACCTAACCTAACAACTATTTGGGGTTCTCTGCTGATTAGATCCAGAGGTTTAAAAGAGTGAAATGGTGACAGCTATATAGAAAACGCTACATGCACAACAGGCCTACCTCACAAGGCAGTTGTGCCATGAACTTTTTTTACATGTCATCTGCCTCTTTCCCAGAGGAGCTGAGCTGACCTTTAGCAGAGGACCCAACAGGCCTTCTCTGGAAAATGAACATGTTGTGCTTCTTTTTCCAAGGCACATTCATAGATGTTAATGTGTTGTTGTTCTGAGTGCTGGTTAAGGGAGTCACCTCAGCGTGCAAGCTCTTATCCTTTGCACTGAGTTTCTTTTCCCATTTATAGTTTTGCACTACTTTTACTACTATAGAAATGCAATAACCTTTCCAAGAGCAAATCTCCGAGTACTGAGCAACATTGTTGACATTCCTCATTTCTGATCACATTTCCACTCTACCTCCCACTGCTGCACCCTTTAAAAGAGTTACCAAAAGAACAAAATTGTCTGGATCCATCAAAATGCCATCCTGTTTTCGTGCAGCGTGCACCAGAAGGCAGGAAGAGAGCTGGGTTGTGATTAATCTGATCCAGAGGAACAGTCTTTCTTCATACCAAACGCTTCCTTTTTTGGTTACATTCTGATCATGGAAGCAATGCCCCATTCCACCAACTACCAAAGCAAAAACACTCTGAGCGCTTTTGCACTTTTACAGTATTTCATATTTTCTGTCAATTTCTGGTTGCATCCGAAAATAATAATTTCAGGTCTGCTCAGAGGAGTGACTTAGACTGAATTTCATTTTAACTTCTGAGGCATAATCCAGTCAAAGTTAAGCACCCTTGATCCCACTCAATTTGATGCAGAAGAATCAAATGTGTGTTCATATAACGAAATGTTACATACATTTCAGATGTAACTAAACATCCGTATTAACAAAAAAATGATTAATTTATCACTGTGGCATGAATAAAATATGCCTTCTTTGACATGAAAGAATGGATTTACAGATGTATAAAATTAGTGTCTGGTTTTTGTCTTCTCTGCTTGCAAATTAGGACTTTGAATATTCAAAATACTATCTGTATTATTTATTTGTTTATTGCATTAAGAAGTACATAGTCATGGTGTTTCATATCAGGTACAATATATTAAAATGTTGCCAAGCTACATAAAAATACATGCATCAAGCTATATTTTTTATATAACTAGAGAAGAAAACACGCCATATTTATGAAATGATGTTGATCTGAAAGAATCAGTAGCTATATTTTAAAAATATATACAAATATATTGGCTGTAAAACAAAGGCTTGGTTCCTCATTAGCAAAACATAAGTTCCTTTGGCTCCAAAGGGAATTCACTGCAGCACTGAATCTGAACCATGGATACAGTGATTGTTGTAAGATCGAAAATAAGTTTAATTATTAGCTGGGACTTCTGACACATGGTGAACCTTTAATTATTAGCTGGGACTTCTGGCACGCAGTTCTTGCACAGGGGCACTGCTGATGGCACCAGGTTTATTGTAGGTCTTCACTCAAGTCACATGAGGATAGCATTGGTCCTTAATTCAAGGCGGAATTATTCATGTCACTTCTTTGCTTATTTATAGAGGTTGTTCACCCAGCCATCCCTGACGGAAATAGAAGGGATGGATTTACACATTCTGTGAGAGATACATTGAGTCAACAAAGTCTATTATTTCACCTGTAATATTAGTATTTGAATTATAAAAGAGGCAGATTGAAATGAGGCGACAGAACGCCATAAATTAGTGGGGTGGGGGAGTCATCTATTAAATTCCAGATTCTGTAGAAAACTACAAACCTAAAGTAATTGCCTTTTGCTTTCCTCCCAACACACAACACTCTCTGCCTTTCACTCAGTTATACCTTACAAAGGGAAAACATGTTTGTTAATTTCACCCATAGGTCGGGACTATGAAGGCAAATCTGAGTTGGATGAGACCCACTTCTAGGTAAGTGTGCACAGGATTGCACCTGTTAGCTTCAGCAGCAAGATGTGACCTGGTCTGAAGGCACATTAAGCCACTGCCTTGCAGAAGTGAACTGGTCTGGGTAGTTCCTGGTTAGGAGACCTCCTTCAAACCACATATACGCTGCCTTAAGCTTCGTGATGGAAGAAATATGTGATATAAATGTAATTTTAACAAAATATTAGGGCTGCAGTGTTTACTCAACTAATGGCTAGATAAACAGCATAATTTTTTTTAAACCATTATTCATAATACAAGTGCTTAGAAAAGCTAGATAAAGAGACTGCCTCTTCATTCCTACTCTGTTTGCCTTTTCCTTCAGGCCTTCCATCCACCATTTTACTTCTTGTTTTCTAATTTTTCCATCTATACACCAGGGATTTTGTTTCAAGAATAATCAACACATATCTAAGCAAACTAAGAAATCTAGAGAACTTAAGTTTTGAATCTCATTTTGTCATCTCCTTTCTCCATAATGGAAGAAAGACTTTAGTTTACTATTCCCATCCCAGCCCCCAAAAAGAGTGTACCGAGTACAGTGGTGCCCCGCAAGACGAATGCCTCGCAAGACGGAAAACCCGCTAGACGAAAGGGTTTTCCGTTTTGGAGGTGCTTCGCAAAACGAATTTCCTATGTGCTTGCTTCGCAAGACGAAAATGTCTTGCGAGTTCCTGCGGGGTTTTTTTTCCTTTCCCCCCCCTTTTTCCCAAGCCGCTAAACCGCTTATCAGCTGATGGCTAAGCCGCTTATCAGCTGATCTTTAAGCCGCTTAACAGCTGATGCTAAGCCGCTTATCAGCTGATCTTTAAGCCGCTTAACAGCTGATGCTAAGCCGCTTATCAGCTGATCGTTAAGCCGCTTATCAGCTGATCGTTAAGCCGCTTATCAGCTGATCTTTAAGCCGGCTAAGCCGCTAATACTGTAGCGCTAAGCCACTAAACCTCTAATGGGCTTGCTTCGCAAGACGAAAAAACCCGCAAGACGAAGAGACTCGCGGAACGGATTCTTTTCGTCTTGCGAGGCACCACTGTAAATGTAATTGTTAGCCATTGCAAACATGTACCAAACTGAAAGCTTCCTTTTTTCTTTAGGATAAAAGTCCTCTCTGTTAGATGTGGTTTAATGCCAAACACTGTGCTAGTGCAAGAAAACGCTACATCACTTAGGGCAAAGGTGTGAGGTTTTTATCAAAATGCAAAATTTACCAACTGGGAAATTGACAGGATCTGAGCAGAGCATAGAGGGAGAATTTAACTCTGCTCTGTCAAACTGTAGTCCTGAGTGTTATGTACTGAAGTTCTCACCCTGGGCCAGCAGGGGGATACTGTAGATAGTTTTCACTCAGGTCCACATATGCAAATAAGGAATTAAAAGTGACGTTCAGTGATTGGATAGTTACAGAAAGTGGTTACTGTTGCATTGTAGTTGAGCTCTATATAAGCAGGCTGGCTGAACCCTTCAGTTCAGTTCTGTTCTGGCCTGTGAATAAACAAAAGCTGTTTGAAGAATCGCTATGTCATCTGATATGTTCACCCACAACTTAACACTGAGGAAAAATCTTCCCCTCAAACTAGTATTTGCAGTGGGCGGAAATGCTAGCTGAGCGCATCAGCTCTGTGTACACCCTGAATTTCTAGGTGAACTTATGTTTCTGAGTTGGATCAGGTTAGTAGCAATATGCCTTGAGGCAGATCAGGAACTCCATAAGCTTCTAAGTAGTTTCGTGGCCTTGGTCTGTCTAGGCCACACACAACCCAGGCCACACGTTCACCCCACCCCAGATGAAATAGAGCAGATGTTAAAGCCATTTTAAAATTCCCCGTCATAGTGAATGGGGAAGGGGAACAGAGTTTATTTTTAAGAAAAAATACATCTAAGTGGATCATGAAGAATGAATAGGAAAGACACGGAGTGGCTCTGAAATAGATTTAGATGTTTCCCAAAGCTAGAGAGACGTACTGAAGTCTGCAGCCAGTGGACATCCCTTCAAAACACCCACTGGTGCCAACGGGGAATTTCCCTGTATTTCTGGCGGCCATTAACAAAGACTATGGTCGTAAAAACCATTATTTTGAAATACTTCAGTCACGGCTTCCTGCCTTTATGCATTAATCATCTCTCTCTGGAATCATTGCTCCACATGCTTTCCACTTCTTGTTTTTGTGCGACTGGGGTCCCCCACCATTAATGCAGTGTCATTCCCTTTTCCTGGAGGAGCTGTGACACCTTTTTAGAGACCTTTCTGCTCCTAGCTTCCTTGGCAGGGCAGAGGATGATGGAAGGTCTGAGGCATGTTTGGGAAAAGTGGTGCTGGGCATTCCCATCCTCAGCTTTGCCTGCCTAATCAAGCTCCTTCATCTTATCTAATCTCATTATCCCTCATCAAAGCAATACTAGGCCCTTCTACATCCTTTGTGTGCTTTTGAGGATACAGTGGGCCCCTCCCTTATGTAATGCTCTTATTATGCATTAGCATAATTTATATTGCCTTTCCACAATGGTGTGGGTTTATTTTATGAGTTGGCATAAAGACACACATACAGTGGTACCTTGGGTTACATACGCTTCAGGTTACAGACTCCGCTAACCCAGAAATAGTACCTCGGGTTAAGAACTTTGCTTCAGGATGTGAACAGAAATCGTGCTCCGGTGGCGCAGTGGTGCTTCAGGTTAAGTGGTGCTTCAGGTTAAGAACAGTTTCAGGTTAAGAACAGACCTCCAGAACGAATTAAGTTCTTAACCCGAGGTACCACTGTATACAAGTTCCCAAACCAAATACAACTGCAGTGCACCATTTCACATGCTGCATGTGAGACTGCAAGCTGCATGTGTTGTGTGGGGTGCGTTCCTCCATAGATGCCCTCACAGGCTCTACTGATCTGATAGTGGCAGAGGAACATGACGGTTTGTCGGCCACCACAGTGCAAATGGCTGGTCCAACCCTAAATGTCTGACCCTATGCGGAGGCATACCTGGGATACCCTGTGCCCTTGGCAAGGAGCTGTATCCCCCTCCCCTTTGGGGAAAAAAATCCCTTACAGTAATGGCCACGTTAGAAATTACTACATTTTATGCGACCCAAGTACTCAGAGTGTTCAGAGTGAGGGCAAGGTGAGGAGGAAGGGCAAAAAATATATATTTGCGCGCCTTTGTGCCACAGTGCGAAAAGGGAGGGAAGCTTCTCGTGCGTTTTATCTCCCCACAATCGTAGTGTTGCTTCGCCACACACACTCAGGGCTTTTTGTCAGCTGGAACTTGCCGGAACTCAGTTCCGGCACACACACATGGGCCTGCGCCCTGGCGGGGGCCGGTTTCACCAGCCCCTTTTACCAACCATCTCTCATTCCTATACAGTGGTACGTTGGGTTAAGTACTTAATTTGTTCTGGAGGTCTGTACTTAACCTGAAACTGTTCTTAACCTGAAGCACCACTTTAGCTAATGGGGCCTCCTGCTGCTGCCGCGCCGCCACAGCACGATTTCTGTTCTCATCCTGAAGCAAAGTTCTTAACCTGAAGCACTATTTCTGGGTTAGCGGAGTGTGTAACCTGAAGCGTATGTAACCTGAAGCGTATGTAACCCGAGGTACCACTGTACTGGCTTCCTTTGCACTTCCCAGTCCTCATTTCCATGGAACAAGTTTTACATTGTGTGGCCCCTCACTTTTCCATATTAGTGATTTTGCAACCGCCCCTTTCCCCACAGTTTTGCTGTAAATTCTCCCATGGATGCTGGACAACACCCGCCCCACCCCCCTGCCTCTTGCAAAGTAGAAGCACGCTTGACAAAATTGTTCAGGTATGCAAGTCTCATCTGCTGTAATTCCTACCTGATACCATTCTCCTGAGGTTATAATGAAAGATATGCTTGTTTAATGATAACTTGCCGCCACACCTTCTAGGCAATCTTTCTTTTCCTGGAAAAGCATGTCCTGCCCTTTCTGAACAGCTGAGAGAGCAAAGTACACTTCATACATGTGAAACTGCCTGCAGCCATTGCATAACTGCAGTTGCATGAGGGCATTTTAAAACAGCCTGAGAAGGAAGGAAGGAAGGAAGGAAGGAAGGAAGGAAGGAAGGAAGAAGGAGAGTGGTAAATGAAATAAATTGGTTGCTCCAGGATAAATTTCAGCTTCTGAACAGTCTGTAAAGTCTGCTCTAATCAAAGAAAAGAAGGAAATAGAAAAGCTCTGAGAAGGAAGAGTTGAAGAATTGGATAAAACAGGTGATGCGTGCAACAAAATGTTGCAGTACTGAACGCTCCATTCCATTCCATCTCCCCTTTCCCTGCTGCTGCTGTTTGTGTGTAGATTGTTTTCTGTATATTTGCCAGTTTGGGCGGAATTTTTTGTTGAAATGCAGGAAATGCATGAGACTTTTTCCCATGCCAAAATTCCAAATGGCTTTTATAACACATTGGTTTAAACAGCAGTTTGAAAGTTGGGTATAGAAATCCATGCACTTAATATGGGTGGGACAAGGAGAAGGCTATTAATAAAAATTCCTGAGGCATCTTAATAGGACTACTGGTAGCACAACGTAAACATAAACGCCTGCTGAAAACCAGACCTATGCAGGCAGTTAAGAAAGCATCCTTCCACAACGGTTAATTGGTGTCTGTTTTTAACCTTTTAATGGTTTTTATTTTATAATTTTATGTTTTTACTACTGTAAGCTGCTTTGATATATTTTTATGACACAAAGGTATACAATTTTTTTATAAATAAATACAAATAAACAAAAACTTTATATTTGGTGGTTTTTTTTAAAAAATAATTTTAATAAAGCGCCTCCCGCCCCTGCACCACCCCCCCAGAACCCTGGGTATAGCAGTACGGTGAGTGTGATGTGAATTCTGCTCTTGGGATCCCTAGTTGTTGTTCTATGCTGTGGCCCATCCTTTCACTACAATTGCCAGAGTTCATTTGGGAAGGGGTAAATGACTGCTAAACCATGGGATAATTAAAGTGTGGATAATTAACTTCTAGCATCAAAGCAACCCGTGCTACACGATATGGCAATTGCTTAACCTAGCTAGAAGCCTGTAGATTAATCTAACAAACAAACACCGAATTTCCCAGCACGATAGTACTGTAGGTGATAGTTGCTCCATTTGGCCATGAAGAATAAGTGATAAAACTGATGATGAAATAACTTTTATTGGACTGTTTTTAATGCATTGCTTTGCAAGTTTTCTAGCAGTGCTTGATTTTTTCCATATAGCTTTAAAACTTACATATGGTGGTGATGGTAGCTTTCCTTCTAGTGCAAGTAGTGCCTTCTCAGTTGGGGCATGTGTTGGAAAAGATCTGAAGTTCAGAGCTTACTCCCCACAATATTAAAAACCCCGATGAGAAGAACATAGATCCTGCTGGGTCAAGCTAGTCCATTAGTCCAGCTTGCTGTTCTCACGGTGCCTGTGGGAAACTCGCAAGCAGGGCCCAGGCACAAGAGCCCTGCCTCTTCCTGCAGCTTCCAGTAACCACCATTCAGAAGCATTCCTGCCTCCAACCATGAAGGCAGAACATAGCCATCATGGCTGGTAGCCACTGATAGCCCTCTCCTCCACAAATTGGTCTAATCCAATACCAATCCTGCCACAACTTGACTGGCTGCCAATTAGATTCCGGGCCCAGTTCAAAGTGCTGGTGTCGACCTATAAAGCCTTACACAGTTCAGGACCTCAACACCTTAAGGATCGCCTCTCCCCGTATGAACCAACCTGGACCCTGCACTTGTCATCTGAGGCCCTTCTCTATGCCCTCCCCCATGCCAGAGAGGTTTGGAGGGTGGCAACAAGAAAACAGGCCTTTTCTGTGGTGGCTCCCTGATTGTGGAATGCTGTCCCCAGAGAGGCTCGCCTGGTGCCATCACTGCATGTCTTTAGGCACCAGGCAAAAACATTCCTCTTTACCCAGTCCTATGGCTATTAAATAATCTATGCCATGTGAATGTGTGGGGAAGTAGTCTGTTATTATGATGATTATTTTACTGTCAGGCTGCCTGTCATTATGTTTTTATTATTGATGTTCTGTGGGGGTTTTTTTAATGTTGTACAGCGCCATGGGATCTTCTCATAAAGTGCAGTATATAAAGTGAATGAATGAATGAATAATCTACTTTAAGAGCTGTCCTAGCTATGCGCAGCATGAGGAAGTACCGGTACTTTCTTTTATCTGATTGCACAGGGTTCTGACTTGCATGCACAGAGCAGGTTCCTCTCTTCAGATCTTCAACACATGGTGGGCTGAGGATGGCAGGGCACATGATGTGGCACATAGCATGAATGAGCACAGCCTCATTCTTCGTCTCATGTGATGGGAAACACAGGGAGGGAGAATAACTATGGTGATCTGCTCAAAGGTATCCAGTAACTTCATGGCTGAACACAAATTTAAATACTGCTTTTGCAACTCCAAGGACAGCAATTTATCCACCACATCTGTGGCTCCCACATGCCTTCATTCTGCCTTTGCTGTTGGTTTAAACAAGATGCCAATTAAAGGGGAAGTCTTCTGTCATGGGAAAAATCTACTGGGCTGAACCAGGGCTACAGTGTTGCCCAGAATGACATCTAGTGTAAAAGGATAATGATTATTAGAATTATATATTTAATTTAGAGGTGCAACAGTGTAAAGGTGCATAAATGTTGTAGGGGATATAGCAAACAGCAAGGTCGGATTTAGACTGAAGAAAAGCTAGGGGTTTGGGTTGCAAGGGTTAATGTAAGCTTCCATCCAGGAGGGTTCATGAATTCACATTGGTCTGAGGATCTATGGATCAAGTGGAAAGGCCACTGTCGTTCAAACTGATTTTGAACTTTGGAGTTGAAGCAGCGCTGACAGGGCAAGAAGTCATGAATGTTAAGTACAACTACTGCCTTTCCCCTTCCTTGGCTGCGATTTTATTTCACAATGTTTCTACCAGTTGATTCTGGTTCTGCCTAGTATCAGACTCAAACACTGTTTGCCCTTTGGCAGAGGCAGACAGAGAGAGAAATAACTATGCAACAGCTTGCCTCTGTTCTGCTACACTTGCTAAGAAGGGAAATGTTTAGGGTTTTTGTGGGAACACATCAGAAGCACTGAGAACTTACCCAGTTTGGCTTAATATTCAAGATTCACATAGCCCAAGCCTCTCTGCAGGTTAACCTGTGCTCACTTTATCTGGCAGAATGTGTTCCTTAACCGTTGCAGATCAGTGGAAACATAAAACAGCTTACTGTCTCTTTAAGACAATGTACGAGTCACTTTTCTTATTTATTTGTTTAAAGTTTTGTGCGATGGTTCTGGGAAGTCTGCACCAGGGAACAAGCAGGTAACACACGTGTGCTTGTGGAAGAGAAATAGGAACTAGTTTCTGCTCATTGGTATGATAAGCTCCTGCTGTTCACCTTCTCCCAAAGTTAGCTTCACTCTTCTTTGGAGAAAAGAAAACTAGAGGATCCAGCGAAGTGACAAGGCAGGTAATCTACACAGATACTGTTCCCCACTTCTCCAACAAGTGAGAAGTTCCAGGAGTGCAGCACTTACTCAGCTATAGTTTTCCTTTGGAAGAAGGTCACAGTGGAGGCTTATTGGTGTTATTGCAGTATTTGCGGTTACTGTATTTACAAATATATATGGCTTGAGCATCGGAGATACTCCAACAGTAAGATGCTTCAAAGTCTAACACACACCTTTCTTCTTCTGTCTGCAGTCTGTCTCAAACTACAATCTGTTTTTTTTAAAATAATATTTATTACTTTTCCAACAATTTAAACACATAAAAAATAAAAATAAAAAAGAACAATACAATACAGTACGAAAACACTACATAACACATTAAACTAACAAAACAAAACAAAAACAGTTTAAAAAAAAATCAAACAATTTCAATATCTTATCTTTCATTCACTTATTTCCGTGGCCTCCTCACACCTCCCTTTTTGTATCCCACTTCTGTTGATTGTTTCAACAATTCCTTTCCATCTTCCTCTGCTTTCTATCCTTTGATTATCTTAACAGATTCTAGCCTTATTTTTCCCTTTGATACTCTATTAATCTATTTATACTTAATTCCTTATAACATTTCTACTAAAGCCATATAACTTCATTCCAACATTTTTCTAACATTCATTAATTTTACAATATTTCTGTAAATAGTCTTTAAACTTTTTCCAGTCTTCTTCCACCGACTCTTCTCCCTGGTCTTGGATTCTGCCAGTCATTTCCGCCAATTCCATATAGTCCATCAACTTCATCTGCCATTCTTCCCGAGTCGGTAAATCTTGTGTCTTCCAATACTTCGCAATGAGTATTCTTGCTGCCGTTGTTGCATACATAAAAAAAGTTCTATCCTTCTTTGACACCAATTAGCCAAACATGCCCAGGAGAAAGGCCTCTGGTTTCTTCAGAAAGGTATATTTAAATACCTTTTTCATTTCGTTATAGATCATCTCCCAGAATGTCTTAATCCTTGGGCATGTCCACCAAAGGTGAAAGAATGTACCTTCAGTCTCATTACATTTCCAACATTTATTGTCGGGCAAATGATAAATTTTTGCAAGCTTGACTGGTGTCATATACCACCTATAAATCATTTTCATTAAATTTTAGGACATTACATGCCGTGAATTTTATACCTGTGGTCCATAACTGTTCCCAGTCAGCCATCATTATGTTATGTCCAACATCTTGTGCCCATTTAATCATAGCTGATTTCACCATTTCATCCTGAGTATTCCATTTCAACAGCAAGTTATACATTCTTGACAGATTCTTAATTTTTGGATCTAACAATTCTGTTTCCAATTTTGATTTATCCACCTGGAAACTCAAACTACAATCTGTTCTCCACACAGAAGCATTATGTTATAGCATCCTCAGCGGGGAGTGTG